ATGTATAAAACCTAAGAGTTGGTTGGTGAGCCACGAACAGCGAATGTTACGTGCAATTAAGTGCAATAACTGGGAATTGTTCTAAGCTAATAAAAAGAAAATGATACTTTAACACAGTCAAACAAGTTGAAATAAATTATATTATAAAAATATAATAAATAACACTAAATTAATCACAATACGATCACTATAGTAATAATTGAACAATTAAATATAGTAATAATCAAATGTGTGTGTGTAATGTTCTTTTGATCCTTAATAAGACACGATTCATTCTTGAAACAGTTTCACAGGAAGATAATAAAAAAATTTTCGTCATTCGTAATAAACATTATTCAGATTAATGATATATCAAGATTAATGTAATAACGTTAGAATTGCCTCAACGCTTGTTGAATATTCAAGATTTCCCGGATTTGACGGATAAGTTAGATTTAAATTATGTGTTTAGGCACAAGCACGTGTTCTCGTGATGGTAATAACAAAACCTTGTTTAATTGATCCGTGACTGGTACATATGTGTACAGTGTCGTATATCTCTTCTCTTCTTTCTCTCGCTCAAAAAGTGGAACACTGCGAAGATAACGTGTCACTTAACTTTTCTATCATTACGTCAATATTTCAGCAATTACAGATTCAAAGTTACCATATATCGTGCAATTAAAAGAGACCAGTGATAGACCCTTGAACAAGTGAATGGTTTATGAAAGTATTTGAACAATTATACGAACTTCTGATGAATATATTGTGGGTGTAACAGGAAATATTCTGAAATTTTATCAACACTGCGTAATAAGGTGTTAATAAAATTTCAGATTTACCATATATATCGATAATTTTAAAACGTCCAGATATTATAAGATATTTAATACAAATATACATTTCGTAAGATCACGAAAATACTTAAGTGCTTAATTATCCATCATATTAATAAGCCTTAATATTTAATATATAATAAGATCATCTTATTATATGCTAACACTTTTATATTATTATATATAATACTTTTATATTATTAATATTAAATTAAATTAATTTCATTATATTATTATATATTAAAAATACTTATAATACTCATTATATCATATGTTTAAGATGACTATTCATGTTGTATACTAATTTTTTATTAAATATACATCTTGCGTACATACACATTCAGATTGAATCCAAAATATTAAAGATATAACTGTGGTAGAGTTAATTAATAAAATTTCAAAATGCTTTATATAGCACACACAATATATTTACAAAAAGTTTCTACTAGTTTCTATAATTTAGAAGAAAATTTTAATACATGTGTATTAATGAACGAGTTCAATCTTGGTTAGTCGAGCAAGTAATTTTTCCATTCAATTTTCACGATAAAAAGGAACCATTTGGCAGCTTTATCTTCGGGCAAATATTGATCTGTGCTTTCCTGTTAATCGAGCAAGTTAACGCGTATCCAGCTTCGTTGAGCCATGTTAACCCGTTCTAATATTACGAGTATCTCTTCCTTTATGTTCGTTAAAAGTAAACAGTTTCATTACGTAAGTCGTGGTTTTTGTTCAATGATATGATTGAAATATAGAATTATATACACACGAGTCTGTTATTCACCTGTTTGTTTGCCTTTTTCTATGACATCATTAAATTCTCATTTATCTAGGTTTGAATAACAAGACGAGAAGAAGTGAAAATGGGTAATAAAAGTGTTGTGTATACGTTCAATTGAAACTGAAAAATTTGAATGTTGTGATACAAGTCAGAATAAAAGCAGTGCAAATGCTAATATACATTGTTATAACAAGCAAAAATTATTATCTTTATCAAAAATTATTATCCTTAACGAAATAAAGAAGAAACTGCAGATTTGTCTAAAATATCAAATTATTGATATATGAATGAATATCAGTATTGATTTATAAATATATATATGTGTGTGTGTGTGTGTGTGAATGATATATTAAATTATAAAAATGATCTAGTTTGTTAGAAAATCGAAATTTACAAAGAAATCTTCATTGTAAAACCTAACTATAAGACATATTTTTCAAAGATGGAAATATTAAGAACCTCTAATACCACAAATACTACGCTTCTACGATTCTCTGACAGAGAAATTGCATGAAATGTTCTCTATACATTAACAAAAGCGCACAGGAAACAAATGTTTCACATTTATCATTTCATCTTCGATGCCTTCCTTTACAATTGCATAGAACGAAATATTTCTCTTGCCGATATAACTCGATGATTCTTACTCCGCTCGCATATCTAACAATTTATAGATTAAACATCTCAAATAATAATCATTTGCCAGCCGTTTAATCCCTTTTGAAGATAATCAACACGTAAAAAATTAAATGCCTTCATTAAAAGAAGAAGATCGTATTATGGAACTCTTTCTGACATATTAAAACCCTGTACCAAAAATATGTACGTAAATACCAAGTGTTATATTATAGTTCAACCATTATTATATATATATATATAACAATAAAAAAAATAAGATATATATAACAATAAATAAGAAATAAAAGCAAATTGCGAATTATTGTTATTCGTTATTATTCTAAAGTGATTCTAGTTATCTTCATTAGATTGGAAAATTTTCTATCCTTGGACATTAATACTATCAATACTAACAATCCCTGGACATTAATAGTATGTGCATGTAATCTCCTGTTATTCAACTTACGGTTTTTCTTGTAGGTTCAAAGTAACTAGAGAGCAAGTTTACATTATTCCAATAAGATGTTTCATAAAACTTGTTAATTATTTGTAAATGGAAATAGAGATTTATTGTTTTATTTTATTAATTATGGAATATCTTACGTATTGGGGTACTTATAAGTAATGTCATTTCTTGATATTGTACAAAATTTTGTTTTATTTACAGTTTTAATCTATAATATAATTTCCATCATTATTAACAATCTTCGTCCATCTCTCTGACGAACTTTCTATTCCCTTTTTGTAAAATGAAGGTGATTTTGAAATAAAATATTCCTCAAGTGCAGTTTTGATAGCTGCCGCTGTAGGAAATTTTTTTTTTACGAAAAAAATGTTCCATAGATCTGAAAAGATGGTGATCTGACGGTGCAGCATCAGGAGAATACGGTGGATGAGGGATTAAACTTCCCAATTTAATTCTTTGGTTTTTTCTTAGGTGATTCTGGCACTATAAGATCTTGAATAACATCTTTTCAATTAATCAGACTTGGACGTTTTCGTAACAAAGCCATGTTTAGTCTATCAAGCTGAGCACAATAATATTCAGCAGTTATGGTTTCATTAGGATTCAGAACCTCGTAGTGAATAATTCCTGTGAAATCCCACCATACTGAGCTTTTTTAAGGTGAAAAACCTGGTTTTGGAGAGGGCAAAGGTGGCTGCCCTGATATCAACCATTGTTTTTTCTTATGTGAATTACTATATAGAATCCACTTTTCATCTCCAATAACAATTTGTCGAAAAAAAGGATCTCTGTCTAACCTGGACAATAATGCACTGCAGATAGTTACACGTTGAATTTATTGTCAACTGAAAGTTGATGAGGCAACCACATTCCTCCTCTTTGCATTTTGTTACATTGTTCTAAATACTGTTGTATTGTGGATCATGAAGTTTTAAGCTTCGTGGCTAATTCCTAGATAGTTTGTTTGGAATCAACTTCAATTTCAGCAAACAACAGATCTTTATCAAACTCAACAGGTCTTCCAGATTTTATACCATTGAAAAGATTGAAATCATCGTTCTTAAATTTTTTAAACCAACGCTGACATGTTTTGATATTCAAGGCACTAGGATAAACATCATTAAAACAGCATTAATGGTATTTGTGGCATTAGTGGCATCGTCATGCTTTCGAATCTCATAAAGCATCAAATATCTAATATGGAATTTATCCACAATTTGCTCTCCCACTCTTGTAGGGTTCACTCAAATTTTTTTCAAAATTTAACAATAAACACACTAAGTGTCAATATATTTAACTAGAATATAGATTATAATAAGTTAAATTATGGTTTTAAGTTTAATTATGTCACCGTATGGCAACGTTTATTAATTTGAAAAAAACGACATCACTTATGGGTACTCCTAATATAAAGGTATATATATGTTATCCTGCATATAATTGGTGAATAAGTGGGATATAGAACGTCTTGAAAAGAAAGAATACAATCTTTTCATTTAAGGCTTTGTTTCCGAGAAAAACAAGTTCAAAAAATCATCAAGTACATTTGAATTTGACTAATTCTAGATTGGTAACAAATAAATAATAAACAGAAAATTATTCTACCTGTAAAGTAGAATCTTTTCATTAAAATTTGTAATTTTTACAAATTATAATAATATTATTACTAAGGCTCCATAATCCCAAACTAAAGTTTCTAAATCGATAAATTTATTTATAAAGTAATAAATAAAATTTTTTAATTAAATATGAAGATTAGATTAATGCAACGTTCAAGTTAAATAATTTATTAACTTTAAAATATTTTAAAATATCTCCTTTTAACTGTTACAATCCTTTAATTAGGCTAAATAGTATCAATTAGAAATTTTCACTCATACTACGATAACAATGTAATTATTTTTTACGTTGAAACAATGAAAATAAAATAAAATTTATATTTTGTAACACGTATTTAGCAATATAAAAATATCAAATGTAGGGAAATGCAATTCATGAAATCAATTATAAATTTTTCACTCATTGCAATTATACTTATATATTTCTATAACATGAATAATAGATAAAAACTATCTTGTTGTTACAACTTCAGACCTCATTGTAATTCTATAGCAAAAATATTTATTTTATAAATTGAAAAATTTAACTGATGTTTTTAAATTCAACATTAAAAAAAAGGAATGATATGAAACAAATACGAGTACGATATTAATTTAAATTTTATGTATATTGATTACCAATTAAGTGTTGAGATTACTACCTTACACCATTAGTCCATAAATGTTCTATAAAAAATATGTAAAGAAATATCGGAACATACCTGAGGGATATTAGCGTTTAGTTGACGATTCAGCGAGTCCCGTTCCTTCTCGACCTCCTGCAAACGCGCTTCTGTCTCCTGCAACCGTTCCTGGCTCTCCCGTAGCGATTCCACCAGTTTGTCTCTCTCGTCAAGCATCGAAACCATTAGCTGCTCGAAGTTCGCATCCTCGCCGGAATATTGCGAACTCCTCTGACTAATGCTGTCCTCCGCAATAGTCGGCATCACGTCGCACATCATATTCCACATTTTGCGTATCCTGCTACTCTCTCTCTCTCTTTCTCTTTCTCTTTCTCTCTCTCTCTCTCTCTATCTCTCTCACCCTTCAGCACACTGAAATTCCACTTCAAATATACACACAAATGAGAAATGGGCAAAACACGCGCGCCGGATATAATATGAACACTCGTGTGCGCATCAATAACGAAAGCCAGTTTCCGATACATATATATATATATATATATATATATGTTATATATAAATATATATACACATATATACAGTGGTCACAAATGTATTTAAATACTTACCAACGAAAATGTTTACATTATATACCATATGTTTATATTGTACATATTGTATGTGTTATGTAAAACATTTTTGAGATTTCATTAACACTATAATAACGAGACAACTGTCATAGTTTGTCATCCGTCAAATATGAAAATATGAATTTATAGATAGAAGTTACGGGATATAGTAACTATTGTTATTATTCAAACATAGATAAATATCAAAAGATATTTATAATAATGTTGCTGAATTTTGTTTTAGCGCTAAATTAATATAGATGTACATTATTATTAGTTTTTTTTGCACAATATGGAATAAACTATATAACGACAAAATTCAAGCTATAGAAATATTTGAATAATGTATTATATATATATTAAAATATGTGTAATACAAATATAACGTAATGTATTAATGACATGTAAATATTAAATATACTTATATAAAAGATCATGCCTAATAAATAAATAAAATTTATTTCTATTAATTAACTCCAATAAGTATTTCAATATATCAAGAAACTATTAAATCATTAATATTGTCATAAATAAATATATGAAACAATAATTTTTAGAACACTGTATTGTGCAAATATTAATAAGAATCACTGTATTTACTGTAAAGCTAGTTAGTAAAATATTAGTATGTTAAAGTTAAGTATAGTGAAATAAGTATACTAAAGATAAAAATTAGTGTAATGTCAATATAATAAAAAGATAATAAACGAATCCCACTGAATAACAGATAGTTATCTGTTTAAATATTTTTCTGATTTTTACGAGATATATGTCCATATTAAATATTATCGAAGTCATTTTCAAATTTGTTTCAAAATTAATGTTCCACAATGGTCGGAGTTTCGCGACATTGTTGTTGAAATCTTAAAACAAGGAATTACAATCCGCATAATGTATATTAATTTATATAATTTATAAAAGATATCTACAAGTGTGAGCCACTGTATATCTATATCTGTGTGTGTGTGTGTTTGTGTGTGCGTGTGCGTGCGTGCGTGCGTGTGCGTGTACCTTTTAGATCGTTTCGAGCTTTTCACTTAGTCATTTTCCTAGCGCGGTTTTCTTCCTTTCGACCGCGCTTTCTCCTTCTCTCTTTTTGATCTTTTCCGTCTTACCAAATTAAATTTCTATCTGTATCTATTCTTTTCTTTCTGTCACACGTCTCACAGATTCTAACGACACGCACTGAAATAGTTTTTATGCATATTATTTATTCTTAAACGGCATACCGTTTAGTTGTTAAGAATTCACATATATCAGAGATACTATGAATTTCGAATTCAGAAATCGATGTTCTCTGCACTTCTTTCTATTCTGCTTTTCCACTTAACGAAGAAAGAGATCGGTCTTTCTCTTGTACCTTTTTTTGGTTAATTAGCAGCTATCTGCAAGATCATTGCTCGAATAATTCATTCAATTCTAAGATCAATACATCGCGAACTTGTTCACTGTCGTCCAAACTTACATCTCGTTTTCACCGTCGGACGATACATTATTAGCAACTGGGATATTGTTTATGGTAGGAAATCAATCGATGTATAAGAGGTGTATATATACGCAGCGATGATAAAAGCCGTAGGCGAACAGAATGCTTTTTCCTCTGACAAAAATCGATTAGCACGTATCGTGACAAAAGGAAGATTCGGACGTTCGATTCGGTTTCACCATAAGTACCGAGTATAAATCGAGTGTATAAACTCGAGTCGGAGTCAATTCAGTTTTGACAGATCGCAGATTGTATTCCGCACGGTGGAACAGTTACGTTGAACACACTTTGGATTTTTATGCTTCATACCCGTTCTGGGTGCACGGGTACTCTTTCCTTTCCATTTTCACTTGTTTCTAAGGATACGTGAACTAATCTCTGACTGAAACGGCTCGGCACGAAGTTAACACCCACGATGCATTCTTGACTGTCTCCTGGAGCCGGGTAGACCAGCCTAACATCCGGAAATTATCCACGAACAATGTAAGAACGATCACTGCCAGTCCAACGTTTACTTTCCACTTCGATCTCATTCAGACACAGTTTCACCCTATCCGGAAATTTGAATGTATGTGTGTGTGTGTGTGTATGTGTAAATATATATATATTATATTACATATATAATATATACATATATACATACATACATATACACGTATGTGTATATGTATTACATATATATGTGTGTGTGTGTACGTATATGCGTATGTATATACATATAAATATGTATAAACCACTAATAGATTACAAACAGAAGAAATTTTGTTTTACGGGGATAAAGAGATATATACCGAGGAGTCCGGGTTGCACCGCTTAATTTGACTTGCCAACTATTTCACCATTTATTATCACCATCCGAGACTTGCGAAACGATCTCGATCATACGTAAGAGTAATGCGCAAGGCGCGAGTCAGTATGCAACAATCGGCATTTCGATGGCATTATCGCGACGAAGCCGAGTACTGACACACCTACGGTTCGTTCCTACCGCCTAGCCTCTACGCTACTCCATTTCCGATACCGGTAGCCATTTTGCACCGTGACGTCAGCCCTCGTCCCCGAAGGTACGCCCGACTCCGCCCGAATGTCATACGACTTTCTTGCGCCGCGTTTACAATACCGCGACGCGGTTGACGATCGCTCGCAGCGCTATTGTAGTCATCATACAACTGCCGCGCCAAACATTCGGGTACCATTCAAATTAATCTCTTGCGCTGGAATGACGTGCCACACACGTCGAGAATTTTTGTCTCAAAATTGCAATATTTCCTCAATTTTAAGTATATTTAAGTATAACCCAAGTAAAACAAATAATAAATTTATTACTTCACAATAATGTCTATCCAGTGATCATACCGACGAGTTCAAAAAGAAAGCGACGAATTATTGTATACGGTTTTGTCACTCGTTATGGTCCGCAATCAGTTGCCAGCGCTAGTAGTTAATCGTCCTCAAATTATGTCTACGTGATATATTAATCCGCATCGGTCCCTTATTTTTCCAATTTCACTTGTCCTTTGACATCAAATCGACATAGCGATAGAAAAATATTATGACGAAAGGATAGAGAGTCGAATTTTCAAATTTTTTTATTAATAGCAAATAGATTAAATTTCTATTCAGTTGCGTGTATAGCTAGCGTCTTAGATATTTTAATATAGATAATTCAATTTTATATCGTGATCTTACATATTTCACACACATTTTATAAAAAAAGCGTGTTAAATTGATACGTAAGGAACAGATTAAGGTTAAAACATTATCACTAATTCTCTGTTTTAATACAAATATAATATATTATATTTATTGTAAGATTTGTCATATTTTATGTGACTTATTGATTAGAACTAAATTAGAATTAAATATATTTTCAGGTCATTTAATTGTAGTTTCATACGATTAAAATTTGATTCTGGAAATGACCTGTACAATTCGATATAAAAAAACTTTATTAAAAAATGAATATCACTTTTATATTTCTATAAAATGTACAATCTTGGCAAAGTATTCGATAATTAACACGTTGCAATTTAAGCAATTCTTAACTCAAGCGCTTTTTACTTAAGAGCATCAACTTTTAATATAGATGTAATATTTGTTGTAACAATAACACACGCATACATATTTAAAATAAACGCTGATACTTATTTTGTTACATTTTTTTTAATTACAATTATAAATATAACTCATTTAAATTTTTCGCTCATAACAAAATATTCCTAATGAAGGACATATTATTAATGTTACAATTAATAAAAGATATATTATGTTGTCAAATTTCCAAATTTTTATTTTGAACGTCACACTTCAGACAAATATTAGATTATATAATATATTTTTATTTTCATGCATTGTGCAATTTAAATTCAAAAATACCATTACACGCTATTGTTACAATATGTAAGTGTTGCAAGTTGAAATCCTATTTCATTTATTTTAAAGTAATTTATTATATATATTAAATTTAATTTATTATGTATGTATTTGACTAAGATATAATTAGAATAATAAAAGATATGAATTATTTTAAAAAATTATAAATATTAATGTAACATATTTTGTATAATATAAATAACATATCTTCACGTTCTAATTGTAAGATTTAATTTCTAACAAATCTGGTATATTTATTTTCAAACTTCGAAAAGAAGATTAATCGCTGTTAAATGTGAGATAATTCTGATCAACTTAAAAGAGAGGGGAAAAATCGAGGAGGCTTAACTTGCGGAAGATGGAGACTGCGCTACAGCGTGAGATGCTGGATGATCAATACCGACTTCCGAGTCGAATTCTGGACCGAATTATACAGTCAAGGGAGATACAGACGAGCATCATGAAAACAGTGACGCATACCTGCACGCCAGGAGCTACGGGTAAGTAGTCCTAGCTTCAATTCAAAATATCCTTCGAAAAAGTATAACTTAGTTTATTCAACAAAATTTTTCAAGTTTGTATATTCCTCTTCCGAAAGAAAAAATGTTCTGCCATAAATATTTCCATTTTCCCAATTCTGTTGTTTCATAAATTAAAATGTCTGAAATTAATACTTTTTTTAAATATTAATAATTGACAATTATCTTTCAAAATGTCTCTGAAAGGGAAAGTTTCTCGGACAGTGTTATGAAATCAATTATTAAATTATTGCTTTTCAACAGCCATTTCCCGATTTATACTTTATTTGTCTAAGTTTTAGATCTACCTGGAAACGATTCAATTGAGGATATCGCTGAATCAGTAGACGAATTACGGGAAAAATTGGCAAACATGAAGAGATTGATGGAAGAGCGAAGAGGTACCACCCTGGGCGAAATTAGTGCAAGAAAGAGAAAAGAGACCTCGGATATCATAGATGGCTACTTCTTATCTTGGATATTCGGCTCAGCACTCATCGTGATTTTGAGTGTCAGTTTTTACGCGTTTTACAATCTGTACCATGCAGTCTTAAAAAAATTTCCATCACATCATACAGAATTGTAAACCAACGGTAATTTTCACCCTTTAAAACCATATATTTTGTTTTTTTCTTCGATAATATACTACCTTAGTTACCATGATAATTTTCAGGATAAGAATGAGGAAATTTTTACTGATAAACAATTCGCCTTGGATATATTCCTTTGCAAACAATAGATGGCAAACAAAAAAATGTGCCCAAAGATCTCGAATTTATTGCGCGATTCTCAAGAAGCATACCAGCTAATGGCTTCGTTCGTGTCAAAAATATCTGTCTACGCTCTAGGATATCGTAACGAGACATCTGAAGTAGAAAGAATTTAGAAACAAATTAGAAAGAATTTGAAAAATGGATAGAATGACAAAAAGGTTCCTTTTATATGTATGTACTTGACAAGTTCAACGAATATTTATTAATATAATATTTTAATATTTTATTATTCAGGTCGAAAAACACTTCTTTTTTTTCACTACACATTTCTCAAAGAACTGTACTCTCATGAAAAAAATTCAGTTCTGTATCAAAATTACACGTTGTGTCAGAAAAGAAGCAAGTGCCTTAAAACATCTTTTAGCACTATTCATTTTAGTGCGTTCGTATACATGTAATTCTATAGTTATGAAGAATGAGGCACTTAAAATGGATAACACAAATAACAAAAATAGTTTTCGATCTTAAGATGAAAATAAATACAATATCTTGATTTTGAAAAATGTATGATCTCTTTATTTTTATTCTTATTTCGATAAATTGAATATCTAAAATATTTTTTTTATTTTCAAATATAAAAAAATAAGGTGTATTTTAAGAATTAAATCCTACATTGTATTTCCTTTCTAGACATTGATACATTGTATGGCATGTGAAAGTTGTTTCTATGATTCTTGATCCATACTTCACTTTTTTACTGTAGTTTTATATTATGTAGTACTTAAATTTTATATTGCACAGTGTCCTGATTATCTTTAAAAAATTTTAGTTCCAAAATATCTACATTCATGGATAATCAATACATTAATTAACATGAAGCTACACGTAAAAGCTGTATTTGTACGTGTAATCAAAATTTGTACGTGTCATCAAAATCCATTCATCGAATTAAAGTTTCATTTTAAATTGTACGATTTCAAATTTCTATATCGATCATTTACTCAACTGTACATATTGTGAATATTAAATAAAGATTATAACTCAGTTGAAAATAATTATTTTCTTAGTCATTTAATACATTCAATACTAATACTTTCAACAAAACAACATTTAATAGCACCTTTTAAATAATTCGATCTAATTTTCGTTTTCCTTAATATGGAAAGCAATATTGCGGTCATTTAATTTAAAATAATTATTATAGAATAAAAATGTAAGAAGGATGATAGAATTTTTCATGGTAAACTAAAACAACTCACGCGATGGTGTCTTGATTTTTCGATACCTGAAGCTATAAATATTAAAAGCATTAAATAAAATAATGAAAATCCGAAAATATGACTCAAAATAAATAAAGTATTTCATAATAACATACAGAACAGTGTCTTTTTACTTTCTAATTCCTTGGAAAAATTACCCAACATTTTCTGATAATCTTCTTGTTGCTATAATTGTATTAAAAATTACTATTTCTGTTATTCTCTATTAATTTGTAGTTAATTTGTAGTTAATTTGTTAATTTGTAGTTAATTTTAATGAAACAGAATCACTACCTTTAAGACTTCTCTCCTAAGAGCTTCTCGTTGAATCGATAAATTCGAAATTTGAGTTTGCAGCATTCTCACCTACCGAATGTAATCATAATTACAGAAAACTAAATCATCTTTTTTTCTATTTAAACAATTATGTGTTATTCCAACCTCATCCTCAATTTTTCGTATATCGTTTTTCAATTCGATCATTAACGAGCGATATCGATCACGACAAGACGATGTTTTATTTTCTAAATCAGTTAACATCTTTCCCGCATTTTTTATTTCATATTGCGATTTCTGTAACTAATTATAGCATCGTAAAACTAATTGTAGTTTTTTCATAAACATTCAATAAAAGTAAAATGAGTAAACTGAATTCCTTACTGCGTATTCTTTCTCTGTAAGTTTTTCCGTTAATACTTCCAACTTATCATCCATGCTCTCACAACTCTGAAATAATCAATGTTAAATTTAATTTAAAAATTGAAGTTACTACTGAAAAGTGTGTAAGAAAAATTGAAAGATGTCATTGAGAAAAAAATAAAACAGAAAATATATTAGTAGATAATTAGGCAAGTTAAGCACGGATGTCTATGCGTCTATCTAAAATTCAGAAGTATAAAAATTTACAGAATATACACGATATACAAAAATATTTACAATAAAAGTAAAATATTTACAATAAAGCATTCACATATGCAATGGATAGAAGAAATTTACTTTTAAATTTCATTTACACTAAGTTCCATTTTTTTAGTTACATTTACGGAAATAACATAAACACCCGCACTCTAGTAATCGCTTTTCGTTAAAAAATGCTTTTTTTAACTGACTTCAATCGGGAATCCCACCTCTAAGCTTGTATCTTGCGGTACAATCTACAAAAACACAATTTATGTTATGAAAGTAAAATACACATATTTCTAATAGAACAGATCGAAGTAGTGCAAAAGAAAATTACATTAATAACTTACGTATTTTCTTAATTCCTCTGTTTGAGAGTTGTACTTTGTTACAAATAACATCATTAGTTAACATAAAATATCGCCAATTGTAGTATATAAAAAATATTCTTACCATAACCAAAAGAAAACTGACAACGCAATAAATGACAAAAATAAAAATACACATTACTTTAAAAGTGCAAACTGCGAATAGTATGAACCACATTATGAACAATTTATGTTTAATAACTGTTCTTAATAAAAATAGTTATCAAAAGCGCACGAATAACAATTATAAACGGTCAAATTTATGGTAGAAATCATGTTGATAAAAACCGAAGATCTAATTTCGTTCCCATTTTGGATTTTATCGAATTTTATCGAAGAATCGCAATATATCGATGTTAAAATATTTCGATTTATCGATCAAATATGTTTAGACGAATAATTTATTGACAATTTAAAAAATCTCTATGGCGATATTTTACAGTAAATAATTTTAAATAATTCAACCTTGTAATTATTTTACAACCGAAAGAATTATTGTGATAAATGATTATCTACTGTCTTGTAGAAAATTATAATCTTACTAAATCTTAACGCATTACGATCTATTATATGAATACATAGTGCCATATTTTTCTTTTCTTTTACTTTAAAATAATAGTCTATATTTTAATAAAATTACCACTGTAGCCCAATATTGTCAATTTTAATAATAGAACCAACGTTCTAACATTCCAAACGTTCTGAAATTCTGATATTCACATGTTGAGTGAACAAGTGGTGCAATTAATACTTCTCACATAATTTAATGCTGCAACATGCGAATTCAAAATGTATTTATGTCAAATTTTTACAAAAAAGAGTTTTAAAAACTCGGAGAAATTATTCAGATGATATAACCTACAAAAATGGGATGTTTAAATTTAAACAGGGCGACAAAAGTGGAAGTCGTAGAAAATTTCATCAAAACTCCCACTTTCAACACCATACAACATTACCCTCGCAGTCGCAAATTATTATTGCAGGTGCGGGAACAGTGGCTAATTCAGTCGCTTATCATCTTGTTGTTAATGGATGGAATGATGTACTTGTTCTGGAACAAAATAGGTACATTACATATTCATTTACATAAAAGGAAGTCATTAATAAAGATTAAAACAATGCAAAATGAATTTTTAATTTTTAAAAACTTTCCTAGTTTTTATAGACTTTTATTACATTTTCCATCATTGAAGTAGAAAAGACTTTTGATTTTAAAAATTATTACCACACTGGTTACTTTACTTAAAAATGCTTATGTTTAATGTACAATAACTTAAAACTTTTGTATAGCAGGGTTGGAAGCGGAACATCCCATTTTGGTTCTGGTACACTGGGTCTTTTCAAACCAATATCACACAGAAACTTAATATCCTATAGCATTAAGTTGTATCAACAACTACAAGAAATGGGATATGATATAGGTCTGAAACAATGCGGTAGCATATATTTAGCTCAAACCAAAGACAGAATGATAGCTTTGAAAAGAAGAATGGCTTATAATGTACCCACAGGTTTACATTGCGAAGTAAGATCTACCAAGTAAATTTTGAAATTGAAACATGAAAACAAGTTCTATTAAACTATAAATGTATTAGATTTTAGGAAGAGATCAATTGAATCAATTATATCCAAATTTGCATACTGAAGATCTTGAAGGTGCAGTTTGGGTTCCTGAAGATGCAGTAGCTGATTCTAGTGCAATTTGTAATGTTTTAGCCAAATTAGCAAAAATTGGGGGAGCAAAATACATTGAAAATTGCCGTGTAGAAGAAATTTACACTGAAAATCGAGCTATAAAAAGTGTAAGAACTGAATATGGAATAATTTCTTGCGAATATTTCGTCAACTGTGCAGGAATGGTAATATTATTTTAGAAATATGTAATAATTTTTGTTATTTTTTATACAAATTCTTTTCATTTTCAAAATATAGTGGGCACGAGAATTAGGTTTGAGATGTAATCCACCAGTCAGAATCCCAGCATATCCTGCAGAACATTTTTATGCAATTACTCCTTCTTTCTCATCTAATACAAACATGACTTTGCCATGCATACGAGATTTTGATTCATACTCATATATGAGGGAGTGGAAAGGTATTTAACATATTAGGATATTACATTTGACTTAATAAGTAATTGAATGAATACATTTACAGGAGGTTTATTAATTGGATGGTTCGAACCAGAATCAAAACCTGCATTTGAGAATGGTATTGTTCCTACAAAAGATTGGAGAAATCATCTTACAGTTAATACTTCACATTGGAAACCTTTATGGAATAAAGTAGTACATAGATTGCCATTTTTGAAAGATATACAACCAAACGTATATAACTGCCCAGATAATTTTACACCAGATGGTAGATGGATATTAGGAGAAAGTCCACAAGTAAAGAATTATTTTGTTGCTGTCGGCATGAATGGAAATTCATTACAAGGTAAAAAATAGTAAGTATTTAAATCTTTCGTTTTTTACTACCAAAATTATATTCTTTTAGGAGCAGGAGGAATAGGAAAAGAAGTTGCTGAATGTCTGATAAATGGTGAATCTACACAAGAAATACTTCCTTTTAATGTACAAAGATTTTTAGATTTACATGGTAGTAAACGATATTTACAACAAAGAACAAAGGAAATTGTTGGAAGAAATTATGCAATTTTATATCCTCATCAATGTGAATACAAATATGCTCGAAAACTACGTTGTTCGCCTTTGTATTCTGTACTTGAGGAGAGAGGTGCAATTTTTGGTGTCAAAATGGCTTATGAACGTCCACTTTATTTTGATTCAAATTATAAAAGTAAGCAAGTAATTGTATAATTTTCATTTTCATTTTATTATATTTCACAATACAATTAAATTCATGAATAAAAAATTTTTATTAACAAAAGGGGAAAAAAAACCAATCATGCCACCAGGTAGTTTTTATAAACCTAAATTTTTTGATTATATGAAAGAAGAATTTATAGCATGCAAAGAAGGAGTGGGAATAATAGATATGAGCTCATTTTCGAAGATTGAAATTAAAGTAAGTTATATTTAAAACATAACTGCCCATAAAATATTGTAATCATTTACATATTTGCAGTCTAGTCGTTGGGAAGTTGTAAACTATCTTCAACAATTGTGTTCTAATGATGCAAATATACCAGTTGGTAATATAGTGCATACAGGAATGCAAAATGAAAGAGGAGGATATGAAAATGATTGTATTTTAGTAAGACAAGCTGAAAATAGTTATTTTATGGTTTCACCTACATCGCAACAGACACGCATCTATCAGTGGATGTCTAGGTAAAAGAAGTAACAAAAATAAAAAATATTTATTTTAATTTTATAAAAATTATTCATTTATTGTGCAGACATTTACCAGCTGACTATTCAGTAGGTCTTAATGATGTAACATCAAAATATACTGTTATCAATTTAGTAGGACCTAAAGCAACAGGATTACTTTCAGAACTTTCCAATTCTAATATTAATCTCTCTCCTTTTACATATAAGGTAATTAGTTTACATTAATTTTTATTTAATATTTCAGTAATAAGTGGATTTATAATCATGTATGTATGTATATTAATTTTATGTATTTTAATTTTAACAGAATGTAAATGTCGCGTATGCTTCTGATGTAATGGTAATGTCATTCACACATACTGGTGAATCTGGTTATTGCTTATATATACCATCAGAATATGCACTTCATGTATACTCCAGATTAATGGAAGTCGGTAAAGATTACGGAGTACGAGATGTAGGTGTTCTCACACAACGTTTCATGCGAATAGAAAGATTTATTCCATTTTGGGCCGAAGAATTGACACCATTTGTTACACCATATGAAGCTGGAAGTGGATACAGTGTAAAATTAGATGTAAATAGATATAGCAGTAGAATTTATTTATTTTAAAAATATTAATATTAACTCTAGATTTGTGAACTTTTTCTGTCATATAAAGATGACTAATTATGATAATCTGTTTTAACAGAAAGAATATTTCATTGGAAAATTTGCTTTACAACGTCAAAAAGAACAAGGCGTATCAAAACGATTAGTATTATTTGTTGTTAATGAATTAGATATCAATAAAGATGTATGGCCATGGGGTGGAGAGCCTGTTTATCGAAATAATGAATTTGTAGGAACTGTTACATCAGCGGGGTAAATATCTTATCAAAGGTAAAATATATTTTGACTGTATCAAATTATTAGTAATATAACTTTACAGATACGGTTTCGCTACAGAGAAGCATATATGTCTTGGTTTTATCAGTCATCCCAAATCAAGACATATACAAACTAATGCAAGTATTGTTACAACAGATTTTATAATGGATCCTAAAGCTCGTTATGAAATTGATATCGCTGGTATTAGATTTCCGATTAAACCGCACATTCGTCCATTACCTCTACCGACTCTGAATAGTAAATTAAATAAGAAATATATTCCTACTCCTATTGTATCATATTGAAGCCACATTTTTCAATAATAATCTTTTATTTCCATTTATTATGATTGAGATTTAATCATTATAATTTTAAATTAAAATAAAACGGAAAGTAGGGTTTTAATTTTTTTAAAATTGTTTTCTCTAGGAATTTAAATATATTTATAACTGTAAAAATGTTTGAACTATATGTTGTATTGTAATTAAGTATCTACCATCGTCTATCTGCTTTAAATTATTCTATTTATAGTTTGTAAAAATAAGTATTGTATCCAATTAATATATTAGTTCGATGCAATTTGAATATTTACAACTTAATCATTATCAATTAATAAAGCGTTTGTAATACTACAAATAGTACAATAAGTTTTGATGTAAAAATATACATGTAAAACTATATCTGCTTTATTTATTATTATACTAAACTAGCATACATTTAAATAAATTTATTTATAGCAGATACATATTTATACAAAGTTTAAAAGGCCATTGAACAATTTAAACTATTATTTTTTCAAAATATGTTATACATATATACATTAAAATAATAATTAAATTTCTTGAAGCAATTAATGTATCTTATGGTTCAATCTTTTGCACAAAACATTTATACGATAAGAATTTTTACAAATATTTTTCATTGTTAATAGAAATTATGTATATAATTTACCAACATTTATAATTGTATATGTAAATTATATACTTGTTCAATACAATTATTTCTCCATTTTAACAATTGAATATACTAGCTATCATAAATGTAAGTATGTAAGATATAACTATCATTTATGAAGTTTTTTTGTATACTGAGTAAAAAAAAATCTTCATGCGTAATAAGCAAAATGACTATTATGAAAACTTCGTCATCATATTAATCATTTTAACAGTGCATAAAAAATATTGCAGTGTTAACATTAGAATAATTATATGATTTTGGATCTAAAAAATGTATATTCATATACACTGTTACCTTCTTAATATTTTCAATAATACATACTTAATTTTAGCTATCAGTTTTTTAGAAAATTTATTTTTACAAATATTTCAATATCACCTTATGATGCCCATGCTTCCAATTCTTTTAAATCTTCATCTTCTTCTGGTTTGGCTTCTAGAAATTAATATTTTTAATTAATATTTTTATATAAAATAATATTATAATAATAGTAATTATATTTTTAATTTAAAGGTAAATTAATTTTTAATAGTAATTCGTAAGCAAAAATGTTAAGATCATTACTTGTGCGAGTCCTAGCTGGGGCAGTTGGAATAGCAGTAGCTGGAACATTTGGTAGTTCATCAGTAGGTTCAATACCAAGCAATTCTTTATCAAGTTGTTCTTGTTCAAGTTCTTCCAATTCTTTTTCTAATTCTTCTTCATCTACATCATTTCCAAATGCTACAGGATTAGAGATTGCATCGGAAATTTCTCTTGCTACATCCTGTTGTTCAGCTATGTCATCCATCATATCGTGTACTTGATCAACATCCCTAAACAAGGAAAATATCTATATTAACTATTTCTATATTAACTATTTAATTAAAAATATCAAAAAACTAGATCTCTTACATGTGTTGATGAACAGATTTCAATGCATCTGCTGCATTTTTCATGGTAGTAAGTACAGCAGTGTTAGTATTTGCACATTCAAGTGCTTCTCTTTGACTTTCAATTGTAGTAAGTGTACCATCAATTTGTTGCAGCTGTTTTTCATAACGTTTCTTTCTTTTAAGAGCCTGAATCGCAGCTGTAAAATACATTTCCATGTTAATATATTGTATATAATCCTAATATACTGCTATATTTGTTAGTATACCATTGATGCTTATGCAAATTCATAGATATTGTATGTTATAAATACTAAAAAAGTAGTTAAATAAAAATTTGTTTCACATAGTAAATATAATAAAGAATACTTCATTTTAAATATATTTATGTATGTTACTTGTTATCCTATACATATCTTTACATCTTAGAATTTCTCATAAATGGATAAACATCCACAATAAATTTATAAGAAAAATAACATTATTGAACTATTAACATAACACTCATAATCACAAGTTAAAGTGAAACAGAGAAATGTCACAATTGCAAACGACCTTATTTATTGATAGTTGTTCGCAAGTGGTTATCAAATGAAGAACATCATTTATAAATACCTCTTTTGTTTTTTGTTCCATTTTTCTTGGCAACTTGTATTTCAAGTTCTATTTTACTTTCGAGAAAATCCTGTTTCTTTATCAACATATCTTCTGTCTCGCGTAATTTTTGTATCGCCTCGGCTGTTGATAAAGGTGCCGCCTCCTTTTTACCACCAAATATTTTACCAAAGAAACTCATTGTCTTAATAAGTTCTACTTCGAATTTAAATTGTAACCAACAATCTTGAACACGATAACCACTTCTCGTGCAAAATCAACAGGCCACAATACTATACCAACAAAATACCAATCGCCATATTTCCTTTTGGCATTGATATACATACGTCATGACTCATTGTTAAGTCACTATAAAATTTAGCTTCATTCAATTTATCGGAATCTAGGAACAATCAAATTTTTCGTTTCTAGAATTTATTTTTTAAACTCGTAATAACAATTACAATGTATGATTACGATCTAGTTTAAAAAATAAACCAATTTAAAAAGTTACGTACGTATGTTAGATATTTTTAGAAATGTAGTCAAATATCAAGATAATAAAGTTTTAATTCGAGTTGAAATTTTAAATAGTTGTATTTTAAAAAATTACACGCGACAAATTTTTGGCATATCAAAATATCGAATTGTTTAATAAAATTCTTATTTAGAATACATCAAATAAAGACATATATATATATATATATATATATATATATATATATATTATACATATATATACATATATATATATATATATACATATCTTGTAAATATAATTATCGTGATTTGTAAGTATTTATGGCTATATTTGTTTTATATATATGTAAGAATTTATAATTAGTCATACTCAATCGTCATAGCAGCAAAATACAAGATACCTTTCATTATCTTGCTGTTTCTTTCGTTTATTATAATAACTTATTAATTTATAGGTAACCTTTTCAAATGGATAACAGTCTGAGGAATGTAAGTATACATTATAAAAAATGATATTATTATCTACATGTATATTAAAAACTGCTATTGCTTCAAAATTGTTCATTTACATTTCATGATGTAAAAAATTATATTTGGACTGCCCAACATTTCGTTTAAAAATAATAAATTTTAGGCATTTTGATAATAAAAAAATATATAAAAAAATAAAAATCGTTTGATTTCTTAAAATTATAATTCAAAGTAATATCATAAAATTTATAATTCTTTTAAGTCGAACTATCAAACATCTAATAAAATCAAACTATTAATTATTAATATTGCAAAACTTTATTGTTTGTAGTAAACTTCTATTTCATAAACTTTCAGAAACATTTAGCTAGTGGAGAAACCACTCAGAGTCGCTTAGCAGAAGCTTTATATGGAACACAGACTGAAAATAAAATGCTACCAGGATTTGATCATAATCGGGATGATGTTGAATATTACCGTGTTCAACAAGATATTGACTGTGACGAAGTATATCCTGGAATATATATTGGTGATGCGTAAGTATTTTAATATCGTTTATGTCTGTATATTTAAAAAAGATTAATTTGCATTTAATACTTTTCAGTTCCACAGCAAAAAATAAAAAATATCTCAAAATGTTGGGTATAACACATTTGCTTAATGCTGCTGAAGGAAAAAGATTTGGATGTGTAAATACTAATAAGAGTTATTATTCTGACACAACAATAAAATATCTTGGCCTACCACTTATTGATATGTGTACTACAGATATTAGCAAGTACTTTAATATTATTGCAGACTTTATTGATGAAGCTATTTCCACTGGAGGTAATGCAACAATTTAGTAATTAAAGAAAAAGTGTAAGAAAATTCAAGTACATTGTTTAAAATTAAATTTCCCCTTTTATTAGGTAAAGCTTTTGTTCACTGTATGTTAGGAATTTCACGTAGTGCAACATGTGTGTTAGCATATTTAATGATCAAAAAAGGAATGCTCGCCACAGATGCAATTCGAACAGTTCGCAAAAATCGTTTCGTCCAACCAAATAGCGGTTTTCTTCATCAGTTAGCACAGTTAGATAATCAGTTACGAAGACAGCACTGAATGAATGCAACTTTGAAATTTGTAAACAATACATAATGCATCGAATTCTATAGGTATATGTATGTCTCTTCATGGTATAAACAATTTCTGATACATATCTTTGTATATACAAAATGAACTCGAAAACTTGTGGTTAAATTTTAACATCAGTTTCATCATTTTATAGAGCATTTCTCGAGCAAGATTTAAGTGTGTGAAACATTAATCTTTACATAACATAAAATAAAATCTGTGACAAAAGAGAATCGAGGAAAAAAAGAAAAAAATGGTTGTCCGAATAATTTCTTGGCTTATACTGTTTGAATTATAGAGATATATCAGAATAATGCATGAAAGAATTAAGCATAAAAGATTGTACAAAAATGTTTGAGACAGCATGCATCTATTTTTAAAAGATAACCTGCAATCGTTTTTGTGTTACAGTTTGCAATAAAAAATTAACGTTAAACGTACAAATCATTTTTTAAAATTATCATAGTTAATCTTTATCAAAATAAATTATTCACTAATTTTAAATATTTAATTATAAGATACTTTTGTAACCGTAATGATTTAGTATACAAAAAGTTGAGAAGAATGACATTTTTTTCATTTAAATAAAGAGAATAAGTGAAAAATGTAAAATAAAAGTTTTCTACAAAATACTTAAATTTGAAAATTTATCAAATACATTATACCAAACCAATTTTTAATTAAACATGTTCAAATTCTATTTAAAACAAGTCAAAAATTTTGACTTATTTTTGTATACAGAATAATGTCCTATTGATGATATATTTTTATTCTGTCCGAAGTTAAATTTAAGGATGCTTGATAAGTTTTCAAAGCTGAATTTCTTGAAAACGGAGCTTTGTATGAAAAAATATTTTTCTTTTCAACTTTTTTACGTAAAATCGCCTTCTAATCATTTGTGTCATGATTAAAAAAAATATGCAAAGCCGAGGAAATCGCTAGTTGTATATAAATAATTGTGCATAAAAATTGAATAAACTCAATCAAAATATATAAGTAGTTTGATATATTGTTAATATCGTACTCAAAGTTTATTATTAATTATCTAAAAATTAGATATTATGTCACACATACATGTACGAGATAGTAATCATATAGTTTATACTATTCATCACGACGAAGGTATAATTATGTATATAAAATTATCACTTATAATAATTCACATTATTATATATTAATCAATTATTATTATTATAAATAATATTATAAATAAATTACAATAGAACCTCGATTAATAATTCGTTCTGAAAAATGTTCATTCGAAAACTGAAATTCAGTTCTCTATAAGAATTAACATAAAATGATCAATTCATTTTAGAATCCCAAATGATTGCTTGTTTATATTTTTATAATAGTATTTAATGCATAAAATCGAAGACAATAAAAGTGCATACAATCTTAAAAGGATATGCATAATAAATAGATAAATTACATGCGAAAATATAATTTCATAATTTAGGGAGTATTTCCTTCTATGAAAGTACTATTATATATCGATTGTTCTGGGAGTTTTATCTTTTCCTTTTCTGTCGTTAGAATTTACTTAAAACTTACTGTATTTCTGTTTCATTAGAAACTTCTACAATGAAATTTATTTTTGCCTGTTTTAAAATGTTTCTAAGATGAAATATAGACCTTATATATTACAAAACTAATAAAGAAAGAAATTAAGGAACATCCTCCCATTACAGCTCGTGAACAACACTTGTCTATTGGAATAGAGATTCTTTTGTTGCAAAAATGTGAGATGAAAGTCGTTCAACAAACCGAGATATTACTATATTATTATAGTATATATATTAATAAATTAATATTATATTACTATCATACAATTATTGATTAATATTATACCAATAATTGCTACTATATTATGTATTATATAATTTTTATTAAAAAAATATTAATTATAAATATATTAAAAATATTATACAGAGTATCTAGATTTATGAATACTAATTGAAAATATTATATAAAAAAATAGTTTAAATAAGAAGTGAATATAATTTCATGGGAATCATAATCTAGTATTGTTTCTTTGTTGATAGACACAAAATTCATCTCACTGTAGAAGTAATATGAAGGTGAAATACGATTTTGTGAATATAATAATATTTAATTCAACTCAAAATTTTTTATAAAAAAGTATTACTTATATATATCGAAAAATTGTAATTTTAATTTCGTAGAGCCTTAATAATTCTTTAAATCTTTCATATTTCTGTTACTGTTTTGATCATCAGAATAAAACTCAATAAAATAGTTAAACTAGCGAAAGGCAGGTTCGTACGTTTCAGGTACTGTTCGAACTCAACCAAAATTGTTTAATCTAATCCAATTCCGCAGTGTCGAGTACTCGCACTTGGATAATTTGGGCAAATATAATTAAATAAAGGTAAAACCGCTGATGTATTATGTTCCTATCAATTTCAAAAATTTAAATATTTTGTAGAAATCAACATTTTTTACAACTTTTTCATATTCCCATTTTCCTATATATATAATTGTCGGAATTTCTTAGTTTCTGAAATATTTGCCAATATTAGCTCATTGAATCCTACCTATGTATGTATTTGTGACATACTACAAGTTTTGCCGCTATATCAGCCATCGCTGTCTTTATCTTTGTATCTTCATAATCATAATCATGACATGATTCTTGAAATTGTTGAAGAGATTGAGATCCTTCCGATTCAAAAGCGGGAGACGGTATTGGCGTGGAAATTGATGATGATGTCTGGTTTGAAAAAGAACTATACAGATCTTCATCTGCGATACGGACAATAATTTTCCGTATTTCGCTTTTCAAGCGTGCCTTATTGAAATCAGATTTTAACGACTTAAGCTCCAACGCTACATATTGGCCGAATTTATCGTAATCGTCCGGTTCTTTTTGGAGAGTTCTTAAAGCTGATTTATATAGCTCTTCATCCACATCATTATTTTTATGCTTCCGTTTTTTTGATTGTATCCTGTTTTCGTTTTTATCTTCTGTTTTTTCTTCTGCTTTGTCTTCTGTTTTGTCTTCTCCCTAAAAGAAATAACATTTTTATATGGATCAAATACAATTATTCATTAATGTTATTTAATGTTTGAATAGTTAATAGTTCTTAGTTTAATAAATGTAATAGGATAAAATTATGGTCATAATATTTTTTAGTTTCTAACAACAACAGCCGAGTTGGAATGCTAAAGATTTTTATAATCAATGGACTTTTCCTCATTGTCTCGGTGCCATTGATGAAAAACATATTATAATACAAACTCCAAAAAATAGTGGAAGCCATTATTACAACTATAAAGGAACGTACAGTATTATTTTATTAGCCATTGTTGGTGCCGATTACAAGTTTACTTATCGACGTTAGATGCAATGGAAGAGTTTCTGATCGAGGAGTTTTTCAGAACTGTTTTCTAAATAATGGACTCGAGCAAAGCACTATAAATCTTCCAAATGCTGAGATATGCCCATACCATATTGCTTTGTCACCGATGACGCATTTACCATGAAAAAATATATTTTAAAAATCGTATCCTTTTCAAGATCAACCAGCATCAAATCCTATTTTCAATTGTCGGTTGTCGAGAGCACGACGAATAATAGAAAATTAGGTACGGTTTGGTATAATTGCCAATAAATTTCGAATTCTACGAAGAGTTATAAATCCAATACCGGAGGTTGTAACAAACATTGTTTTAGCTATGTGCACATTACATAATTTTTTGTTATTTTCAAATTTTTCGCGTATAAATTATTTACATTCGGGATTGACACTGAGGACGAATATTCTCACGAATTAGGATTAGGCAGTTGATGAGATGAAAACTTATCCGACAATGTTTTTCTTCCACTACATAAAAGAAATCGAAATAATTATGCCACTTCTCAGAAAAATGTGAGAAATGAATTCAAAGATTTTTTTATGACAACGGCTGGTGAAGTTTCGTGGCTTTTACTTACAACAGACACTGAAGCTTCTGTATATGACAACGTGTTATCGTTAGTCAGTACTGGCACTAAAAACCGCATAGCTTGAAAATATGGCCAGTTACTACATATTAAATTGTCTGTACCACTTCCGCTTTTTGATTTTTTCCTCACTTTTCTCAATTCCTGTGACATCTATATTTTGTATAATTAAATAATATATTTATTTAATTTTATTGATTTAATTGCATATACTTACCTGATTCCGCAAATTATGTATTTTACGTTGAATTTCCTCCACAGAACAAGAGAAATTCAATGCAAATTCTTCAAAAATTTTTGCTTTGGTTTCCCTGTTTCTATATTGAATATCTTTAGTATTCCATAATACCGATTTCTCTTCATATTGAGAAATTAGTTCAATAATTTCACTTTTTGACCACACTTTTTTATTATTCATTATTCTGCTCGCACGACAGTACTCTCAGGACTTTGAAACCGGAGCAGGAATTCAAATAGTAACTGTCCGAGAGCAGTATAATATTGTGTCCATTTCCGAGCAAGTCGCGAGACGTCGACTCTCAAATAGCGATGCTCTCAGACAGTAACTCTCAGAAGCAATATCCATTTGCCAGAAATACTCTCGAGAGCAACTCGCGACAGTTTTACTCTCAATAGACACGTACCTTTAGGATAGACCTGGTGATTTATGCCCCTCTTCGAGAGCTATTGGTTTCCATACTTTTACATATCATATGGTCTCCATACTTTTACATTATATCATATGAACTTCATTATCATACGAGTGTTAGTAGTAGCACAGACGAAGTATATTCATATATGTACTTTCGTCTGTGGCAATGTCCTATTCATATATCTCGTTTGTGCTACTACTTTATTTACAATGCATTTAATTATTTATGGTAGTTTTATGCTATAAATATTTTGAGAATTAATTATTAAAAACTATTTGTAAACACGAAATAAAATACAAAATAAGAACAGTTTGGATTTAGAATTGTTTAAAAGAGTGAATTAAATAATAAACATAAACATGATATAAAATTAACTATAGGTAATGATTGATATTTCTATAATGTATTATAATATTTGTTTTATGTATTTCATATATGAAAAAGAATAGACATAATCCTTTGAAATGATTGATTATCATTATACAAACAAGAGATTAACATTTTGTACCAAACAATACTTCTAAAAAAGAAACAGATCAAATACATGTACTATATATACTCTTATTTCTTCAATAAGATTCTTTGACATCCAAAATGGTAGTATATTACCTATTCGATTATTCTGATATAGATGATTTATAGTACTTTGTATTTGTAATAAAAATATATAATAAATATAATTTATGTTTTATTTTACGTATATAATATACAGGATGTTCCCGGGTTAAATCGCTAAACTTTAGATATGAATTTAAGACTCTAAAACAAATTTTTCCTTTATAAGTATGCTAGTAAATGCTTTCTTCAAGAAATATTTACTACTAAAGTTGTAGGATTTAGTAATGTACGCCATCGAAATAATTCAGGTTTATTACGTATATTACTAAAGAAAATTGTATTTATTATTAATAATTGTAATTATTACATATGTTGCTCAAAAGACAAGCATTATACCTATCAACAGAAGAAGTGGCCGATTGATATATTACTTTAGAAATAAATATGTCTTGAAGGAAGTATTTGCAAACATACTTCCACAGAAAAAATTTGTTTGTTTTATGGTCCTAAATTAATATCTAAAGTTTGGCGATTTAACCCAGAAACACCCTATATAATATTTATAAAAAAATGAAATAAAAATGAGATATTAATTATGACAGATTTATTAACATCACGCTTCTATTTAGATTAGTTTAATATTATTACAAAAATTTGCAAACAATGACTGAACATGTTTATATATATTTTTATTAAATTGTTTCATTTTGTTTTAATTTTATTTTTGTACAAATGGATAATATTTACTTATACATCAATAAGAGGCTGTTCTACAGTTGCAGATGTTAAAGATAACAATCTTTTCTTCACTATATGAATCTTTTTGTTTGAGAGACAAATAATGTAACAATGATCTGGATATGTTATCGATATTTTATCAAAAGCCTCATTGTTAGGAAATGCTTTGGGATCAATTTTATTGGTTAGTGTGACTAAACCTATAATAATGTTTGCAAATCTTTCATCATTTTCCAATTCACCTCCAGACTAGAATAAAACAAAACATACAGTTTTAAGATTTTATTCTATATATAATTTAAAGAGCAAAAAAATACTACCGTTAGTACAGCTCCATCCTCTGTCAAAACCAGATGTCCAATTTGATCTGGAATACGTTCCAGTGAAAGCATATTCTTTTTTTAATCTTTAATATGGTACTTTAAAATGGTATTCTTTTATTTCTTCTCTTAAATATTCATAATAATACAACTTTTTTTGTATTATTATGTTTCAATAAGTTAACTGTATCGACGAATTAATTTATGTTTGATAAATTTTCAGAAAAATTAAATATATCAATGAAAATTCGTTGACAATTCCATAAAATCATAACAATTTTTATTTATTTATTTACACATTGATTAACGGCAGAATAAATATGATAAATAGTTATAGTATGATACTTATACATATCTTACATTTCAAAATACCAACCTTGAAAAAGTATTTTCTATGTTTGTACAATTTGCTACAGTGAATGTAAGACTTATATTGTCAAAGTTGGTAAAATCAGTAACACAAGTACAGAATAGACCTGACATGCAATATTTTTTTGTTCCTTATCAATAGACTTGACATACTTTTTTTATATCCTATATATTCTGATCTCCTATTATTATTTTCTGTTATTTTATAGTGCAACATATATCTGGTTTCATTCACTAGTTTTGTAATAATCAATTTTATAGTATTATTTGATTTTTAAAAAATTTGTTTATAAGAAAATGCATTTTATTATACAATGAAATTGATTGGAAAAAATAGATATGACATAATGAAAGTTATCAAATGCAGGCCTTCATGAAGAAAAGAGAAAGAAAGAAAAAACATATATATATATATATATATATATATATATATGTCACTAGGCAATTCGTAAAGGCATTTTGCAATTGAATATGTATTTTCATACAAAAGTGATTCGATCATACAGTACTTTAGCAAGTTACCAAAACTTTATTCAATTTAGTGGATTTTCCATCGGAAGAATTATTAGAAGTTTTAAAATATGAAAGATGAAGATGGAAGAAAGAATGTACAAGGAAAAAGAAAATTGTGAAAGAAATTGTAGTTTGATAATCTATATAAGTATTTATTCGTGATCTATTTGCTGGATCATAAATTTTTTATGAATTGAATTTTCAGTAGATAATTATATTTTAAGCTGTAGTTTCGAAAAACACCAACAGACATAGAGTTGTGTCCACCTCCTTAAAATTTCGTTTCATTACAACAGCCATAAAAATAAAAACCGTGTTGATGAAGCATCTCGTACTGAACATTTGAGATATACACAACTCAAACATTTTGTTCATCTTGCAAATGATTGCTTATTCATTGATTTTGTGCTTATTCTTAAGAGTTTTAAATTCTCGAAATTCGAAACCATCTTGAATTTTGTGAAATCTCGACATTTTGATGTTTCGACTTATCCGTATTCAAAATAATTTTTATGACATTCAAAAACTATCATAATCCTTGAACTCTCAGGTGCATAATATTTTGGCCATAATTTCCCCATATTCAGTATTCAAAAATAACTTGTGATATAACAAACTATACGAATAATTTCGAAAACTGTTTAATTCCGTGAAAAAAACGGAATTTTGATTTCAGCAACCTACAAAATAATAAATTTGAACCAAAAATTTTGCTTGGATAATATTAAATATATCTTTGTCTGGAACCAAGAAAAATATTTTTCAAACAAATAAAATAAATTTAAATTTGAAAACTTGCTCTCTTTTTCTCTAATCCTCTTGATCATTCCAATCCAGTAGATGAAATCCATGGATGAAATTCTACATTTCGTTTTTTGAGTTTGCCCATCTCTGAATTGATGGAGATTTATAAAAAAAAATCCATACAAAATTGATTTTGAGTTTGAAGTTCAAAGTTAAATTTTTTTTTATTGCATCATATTACTCATTATAAAGATAAAAAGTTTCAAAGAAATTATGAGTCGCAGCTTGACTGTTCTTTAAAAAAGAAGTATTAAATAATTCTTAAATTGAAATTATTCATTGTGTTTATATTTACATTTAATAAAAAAATGTTATGAACGAAATTTCAAATTAGCTTGTAAAATATATTAGATAGAATATGATAGAATAGTGAAATATATTAGAATAATAAAAGGTTTCTAGAGATTCCACAACAATGAGATTTTTAGTGATTATAACAATTTGTTGGTCAAAAGTTAATATTGCAACACTTTATTGTAGGTTAAGCCTTACATTCGTACGTATTTATTAATAACATAAAATATATGAGTAGATCTAACATATAATGTATTTTTTGTTACACATAAAACTAAATTTCCTGATGGTTAAAATTGATCCATTGCAGATTTTGATGGTATAATAATTACATTTACATTAGACATAAACTTTATATAATTTCTAACTATTAAATATAAACTTTATAAAACTGCAGCAGGATGTTGCATTAATCTTAAATGATTATAAATTTGAATTGAAGCTTTAAATAATATATTATTCTTTAGATTTAGTTTGATAATTTTCTAGCAGAATATCGGATTTCACCATGTTCAAAATGTTAACATTTAAATACTTTCATTGTATATTATACAAAGTATTATTTAGAAATTGATTGTTGATAATATTAATTGATAATATAAACATCTACCTTACCTGCTAATTAATTAATTAAGAAGTAGTAAAGCAGACCTCATTTCTTGTATATTTATATTTATATTTGATATTTCATTATTTTAGAAATTGTAATAATATTAATTGAGATATAACAAAGATAACGTTTGATAAATGCTACAAACTGAAAACTGTTTTGATTTAATGTTTAAATTTAAGTTAAATATTTAAAATCTAGTTGTAAAATGGACTAAATATATACAACATTTATCAATGTATGAAAATATAAGAAATAACATATGTAAAATTTAGCTTATCAAAACATAGAAAAGAAAAGAAATAGAAACTATATAAAACGATTTTAAATTCGTAATTTATAGATTTTTAACGTATGATTTAATGATACATATAACATTTATTCTACATCTCATTTGTGGTTTTAAATCTTACAATAAACAATTAAACTCTATTGTATACATCGTACAAAAACATATTACAAACTCTAATGATAAATAAAATTTTATTGAAATGAATAATGCAAAATACGATTTACTTCAATAAACATGATTTATTTCTCATGAATTTTATTTACAAAGTTCCAAATTACTTTTTAGGCTTTTTGTCTTTAGCAACCTCATCTGGATTCTCTGCTGCATCTTTCGCACGTTTCGCACGAATTCCTACTAGTCTGGCATCAGCTCGAGCTGTACGAACAGTTGTATAAGCAGAAAACTTCTTCTCGTTCTCCGAAATTACACGAGCCTTAGCTTTAACTCGTGTTTGGTGTCTAACTGGCATGATTTCTCCTTTAATTTGTGTGGCAAGTTTCATCTCTTCTTCAGTAGCATCACCATTCTTAGGCTAATTTCATAAACAATATTAGTATATAATCTTTTTTTAGTAGCTCTTAAATTGAAAATAATACTAACTTTTTTCTCGTTCAATGGGAAGAGAATCAATTTTGATTTATATTCTTTCAGTCTTTGAGCGTTTGTTTGTAACGACTCAACAGACTTGTTGCGTCTTCTTGCATCTACTGCAATTCCAATGGTTGTCGCTAATCTTCTACTTATACCACTGGCTTTTAACTCTGCCAAGGTAAAACCTTTTCCTGGTCGAATCTTTGTGTGGTATCGCACTGTTGGGCAATGTACCACAGGTCTGAGTAACTTCACAGGCCTTAAAATTTATTAAAATTAATTTAAATAATTTAAATAAATATACTGTAAAATGAAAGTATTATTTACCTTGGCGCAACATCTCGAGCTTTCTTAATTCTAGTTTGTTTGCGGCGGTACTTTCTGGCTGGTTGGTTAAACCATGTGTGAACAAATCTCTCCCAGTCTTTATGGAAGTGCCCATTTGGAATCATATTATTTCTCTTGCCCATTTTTAAACTAAAACAAAAATAAAAATTTATATACGTCTTTGCTTTTCAAAAATTACTTTAAATATAAAAATTTCTGGAAATCCAATTAATGCGTAATAGGTTATAAACATTACTATTATAAATAAACAAAATACTAGTTTTCCATTGAATAAAATTTCACAATTTTATCATAATTTTATAACATTTCTATAATTATTATTGACACATCTTTCTATTAAAAAATTAATAATAAATTAATTCCCAATCAAACACGATAAAATAATAGCACGATTACTGTCAAAAATTTTCTTATAAATTCGAAAATTATAATAATATTGTTCAATTGTGTTTGAAAATGAACATAAATAATAACAATTTTTTATTACTTCGCAAAGTATTATTTCAGGATGTTAAGTTTTTAATTGGATCTTAAATCTACAAGCTTGCCTATTTCACAAATTTACCACGAGGTAAAAACTTTAGCACAAACGAGATACAGACTAGATGTGGTACCTAATGCATTTATATGCTCTTTATCATTTTTGTGTCACATCCTGCCGTACCGATTTAAGCAGCGTTTGCACGGCAACACTGATGCACATACTGACGATAGGAATTGAAATGCAAAAAATATGAATGTTGCTAATTCTGCGCCGAAATATTGTGTGATAGAAAGACCGCTAAATCTTCTATTCGAATAAATTATTTTAGATTTTGTATAGTTCTTCTGTCCATCACTTACCAAAGTGACAGAAACAACTAACATTCTTTCACTGGATATTTGAAGCATTAGTTAAAGCAATTCGAATGAGCATATTCTCGCAATAATTTTTACTATATTTTTACAATATCTTTATTATACGTAGTTGACATACCTTTTTCTCGTAAGAGAAATTACATCTTGACACGAAATTAAGCAGTTATTAATTAAAATATTAATAAACTGTTTCTCATTCTTTATATAGTGAAATGTGTAATGATTTTTTACCCATTTTTTATAAAAAAAAAAAAAAGGATTTAAAACAAGTCTCTGAAAAGTGCAAACTTGAATTTGACTTTCAAACTTGTTTTACACAGTATGACTAATATCCGATGTAGAACTGTAGATAATTTACATTTTTCCTTACACTAAATTTTAGAATACAGAGAGATTTTGAAAAGACTAGATTTTACAATGGAAAAAATTGTTTCCAATTAATAGAACATATACTGTAGACTTTAATAATAGTTTCACATTATTTTTTAATCTTCTTTAGCAACTTTATCTGGATTTTCTGTTGCATCTTTTGCATGTTTCACACGAATTTTTACTGCCTGGCATCAGCCCGAGATTTACGAAGAATTGCATATGCAACCAATTTCGCTTCCTCCAACGAAATTACAGGAGCCTTAGCTTTAACTTGTGCTTCGTGTCTAACTGACATGATTTCTCCTTTAACTTGCATGGAAAGTTTCATCTCTTCTTCAGTAGTATCATCATTCTTAGGCTAATTTCATACACAACATTAGTATATAATCTTTTTTTAGGAGCTCTTAAATTCAAAATAATACTTATTTTTTTCTCGTTCAGTTGAGAAGAGAATCAATTTAGATCTACATTCTTTGAGTCTTTGAATATTTATTTATAAAGACGCAACTGACTTATTCCGTATTCTAGGATCTACTGTAATTCCAATAGTTTTGGCAAATATTTTATTTAAACCACTGGTTTTTAATTCTGCCAGGGTAAATTCTTTTCCTGCTCTAATTTTTATTACCGTAACGGATCTGGCCGCAAGCTCTGTGCCTGTCGCTCAATTGTTCAATATATAATATTACACGTAGTATGCTATCATCTGTCAAAACGAAAGTTATGTGTAAATAAATCGAAATCAATTTTTACAATGAACGAAAATTTACTTTCGCTGGTAAGGGAAATTCTTTTAACATAATTAAATTGTTAAATAATATAATGATATTCAAATAATTCTGAAAATAACTGTTTCAAACTGTTATATTTCAAGAAAATATAAAAATATAAAAAAAACATTTCGGTTCTGAGCGATATTATATTAGTTCTATAACTTTAATTTCTTCTGTTCTGTACATTTCTATATATTTCTATCTTTTAATTCTGTATTTCAATTTTAATTATATAATACAATTAATAATATATAATAATAATATAACGTATAATATATAATATATATAATATATTATACAATTCTAATAATACATAATCATGATGTTATATATAAGGTACATAGCACCGAAATTATTGAAATAAAATCTTCTATCTAGTATTGTAGTTTTCTTTCAACATCATACGTTTTGAAATAATATTCACTTTCTTCTCATTCAGAAGAGAATCAATTTAGATTTATAGTTTTTGAGTCTTTGAGAGTTTGTTTGCAAAGACTCAACTGAGCTGTTGCATCTTCTTGCATCTACTGCAATTCCAATGGTTGTCGCTAATCTTCTATTTATACCACTGGCTTTTAATTCTGCCAAAGAAAAACCTTTTTCTGGTTTAATTTTCGTGTGGTACCGCACTGTTGGGCAATGTACCACAGGTCTGAGTAACTTCACAGGCCTTAAAATTTATTAAAATTAATTTAAATAATTTAAATAAATAAACTGTAAAATAAAAGTGTATTATTTAGCTTGGCGCAACAACACGAGTTTTCCTGATATGATATTTTTTTCGACGATACTTCATTGCCGTTTGGTTGAATTGTGTTCTAACACGTGTTTGTTATTTATTGTGAAAATGACAATTAGGGATTATGTGGTTTCCCTTTCCCAGTGTTTGAACTAAAACAAAAATAAAAATTTATATATGTATTCGCTTTTCAAAAACTACTTTAAATATAAATATTTCTGAAAATCCATGTATTGATGTGTAATAGGTTATAAACATTACTATCATAAATGTAAACAAAATAAACACTAATTTTCCATTGAATAAAATTTTATCATAATTTTATGACACTTCTATAATTATTATCGACATATCTTTCTATTAAAAAAATTAATTATAAATTAATTCCAAATAAAATATATGAAAAAATAATAGCACGATTATTGTCAAAAATTTTCTTATTAATTCGAAAATTACAATTATATTGGTTAATTGTGTCTGAAAACGTAAATGATAACAATTCTTTTGCAAAGTATTATTTCAGGATATTAAGTTTTTAATTGGATTTAGGAAGTCATTTACAAACTTATGTATAGAAAATAAAAATACCGGAAAAAGAATCAATTGCACGAAGCGGAAGTTTTAGTTTACCAGCAAAATAAAATTTATCAAATGAAACTTGAAATTATATATTTGTGTGATAAAATCATATTTTGGAAATATCATTTATCTGCTAATTAATTTTGTAAATAATTTTATTATGACAATTTAAATATGGAACATAGCTCCTTTATAGTAGTTAAAAAATATGGCAACTTATATTGTAAACACGCTTTAAATGTTTTATATTTAATTCTAGAATGTTTAAGTAAATATTTAAATAATTGAGTTAAAAAAATGAAGATCATCAAATCATTTATGTCATATTATATGATTAATACGTTTTTTAAAAATATCATTTGTCGATATGCTTCATGTGGCATAAGCCAATTTTCGGTATGTTCTGTCTTGTAAACAAATATATATGTAATATATAGAAAATAATTTATTTCTAGAATAAAGACATTACGGATGAATTAAAAAAAAGTATAGAAAAATATTGGAAGGATAAAGTTAATTTACATCAGTACGATGATACAGATAATATAAGGAAAAGATTTTATGTATTGTCAATGTTCCCATATCCCTCTGGAACGCTTCATATGGGTCATGTAAGAGTTTATACAATAAGTGACACAGTTGCTCGTTTTTATAGAATGAAAGGTAAATTTTTTAATAGTTGGAAAACCAATGAAAAACCGTTCCAAGCAGGTTGACAATATTAGCCAAACATGATTATTATAGGCATTTTAAATTTAATTCTAATAATGCGTATAATATGATTAAATATGTATTTATAGAATATGTGTATATTCATACATAATTTATTATCTATTACATTGCACACATAGAATAGTTTTTTATTTTGCGATTTTTTACAAATGAATTTGTGCTATATATGTTGTTATTATCTACACATATATCTATAATGTGAATTTTTTAAATAACTCATTCAATGATGTTTTTTGGTGGTTGAGTTTTTTTCCTCTAATTTTAAGTTGTTGCAATAGTCTTCAAAATTTGTTTTCAAAATCAGCAGTTCATTTCTTGATATTTTTTCTATATAGAGATTTGGCTAAGAATTTGAAAGAAACGGAATCGAGCAATACATTAAACAAATAGATTAAAAGAATGTAATTGAAATATAATTGATATAATCTTGTTTGATATATTTAGAAAATTTCTCGTTTTTATATTTTCTTTTGTTTCAGGATATAATGTTCTTCATCCAATTGGTTGGGATGCATTTGGATTACCTGCTGAAAATGCTGCATTTGAGAAAGGACTTGATCCAGTTGTGTGGACATATGATAACATTAAAACAATGAGAAATCAATTAAATTTGTTGAATTATTCTTTTGATTGGAGTAGAGAATTTGCTACATGTGATCCTGAATATTATAAGTGGACGCAAGAATTATTTTTAAAACTTTTTGATAGAGATTTAGTTTATAGGAAAGAATCATTTGTTAACTGGGATCCTATTGATGAAACTGTATTAGCAGAGGAACAAATTGATACAAATAATTGCTCTTGGAGATCAGGTGCTAAAGTAGAGAAAAGGTTATTAAATCAGTGGTTTATTAGAACTATACCATTTGCTAAGTAAGTATATTAGAACTTAGCAATCCTTAATAAAGAAACTTAGTAATATTTAACTAATTTATTTTATATCATATCAGATCATTATCTGAAGGTTTAAATGATCCAACATTGAAAGAATGGAGGGATGTTAAAACAATTCAACAAAATTGGATAGGTGATTGTAATGGCACTAGTTTTGAATTACAGTTGATAGGAAATATTCCAAATTATCCCAAAACAATAAATATTTGGACTAATCGTCCAGAATTCATCGAATATGCGAAGTTTATTGCAGTATCTCCAAAGAGCTTATTAAATAGATCAGAATATTGTAAAAATGTGGTAGAAGGAATTCAAATTATAGATGCAAAAGTAGTAAATCCGTTCAATGGAAATGAATTACCAATATTTGTAACAGATAAAATTACATTTCCAAATTTTAGAGATACTTATCTTGGTATACCTTCTGTCTCAATGGATGACTATCAATTTTCTGAACTAATTGGACTTGAATTTACACGACATTCAATAAGAAGTTACGAGGAACAACAAAAGAAAAGATTAGAAATATTATCCAAAGCTAAGAAGTGGAAAATTGGTGGATATCCTGTTGGTTCAAGATTACAAGATTGGTTAATATCTAGACAGAGATATTGGGGTACACCAATTCCAATTATTTACTGCTCAAATTGTGGCATCCAACCAGTACCACATGATAAACTTCCTGTAGTATTGCCAAATGTAACATTTTCATCTTCAAGTAAAAAATCTATATTACGCGAAATGAAGGATTGGTTAAATACTTCTTGCCCGAAATGTGGAGGCGAAGCAGTTAGAGAATCAGATACAATGGATACATTTGTGGATAGTTCGTGGTATTATTTGAGATATATTGATCCACAAAATATAAAAGAAATGTTTGCTACTAATAAAGTAAAAGAAATATTTCCTGTCGATCTGTATATAGGTGGAAAAGAACATGGTAAATATCTAATATTCAAGTTCTTTGCAGTTATAAAGTGTATATATTTAATAATTTATTTATTTAATAATGTTATAATTTCAGCTGTATTACATCTATATTATGCTAGATTTATAAGTTATTTTCTACATTCAGAACGACTTTTACCCACTATGGAACCATTTAAACAATTGCTTGTGCAGGGAATGGTACTTGGTAAAACATATCAAGTAAAGAAAACACAAAAATATTTGAAAGCAGATGAAGTAGAAGAAAATGCAGGACAATATGTAGTAAAGAGTACCAAAGAACCAGTCATTGTTTCATGGGACAAAATGTCTAAATCAAAATATAATGGCACTGATCCTCTTGTATTTGTGGAGAAATATGGAATTGATACAACTAGACTATTTATATTAGCTGATCAGGCACCAACTTCGGATAAACGTTGTAATCATGACAGTAAGTTTTATAATAATTTTAAGTAAGTATTATGACACATATCGAATAATGTATATATTAGTAATAAAAATTTAGCTATACCGGGAATATTAAATTGGCAAAGTCGCTTATGGAAAACAGTGAAAACTTTCACGGACTATCGCAATAATGTAACCTTAGAAGAGCTCCAAGCACAACCTACTGATCCTAAATTTGCACAAGATGATGAATACATGTTTGATAGCCGAAATTACTTTTTAAAGTCTGTAACTTTTAATATAATTGGATCTCAACAATTGAGTATTGCAATATCAAGATTGCAAGGACTTACAAATAGGTACATATTACAATTTTTTTTGTATGTCGACAATTTTATTGACTAGAAATTTAGAAACATTAACCATTTTTTATTTTTAATATTAAGCATACGCAAAGTTTCTACAGAATGCATGAAAAAAAGTCGTGAGTATGAACGTGCATTAGCAACCCAAATTATAATGCTTGCACCATTTGCACCACATTTTGCCTCGGAATTGTGGTCCGCATTTTCTACGGCCAAACATCACCTAATAGATAAGAATGAAATAGAATTAGATAAGGATGTTATGGAACAAAAATGGCCAGAGATAGATATAAATTATAAAATGGCAGTGGAAGTCAGAGTAAGTACAAAGTGTTTAAAATATTTATTGTTTCATTTATATAAATTTTACATTACATTATAATACATTATATAATTTTATATTATTTATTACACGTGACAATTATGTAATTCTTAGAAATCAAAATAGTTTAATACTATAAATAATTTCATAGCAATACATTATTAATACTATATTATTAGATAAATGGTGCACTCTGCACAAAGATTAAAATACCCAAGTATGAAACAGATAAATTATCACTTGAGACAGCTCTTAACTTAATAGAAAATGAACCAACTGTCCAAAAACGTTTGAAGAAGCATAAGATCGATGAATTTAAACTTCTTTCAAGGGAAGGCTGTGATCCAAAAATATTCATTTCAACAAAAAAAAATATAGCCACTGTACCAGTGTGATCTCAGGTAAGAAGAATCAAAGTAAAAAAAAAATTAGATAGTATAAAATTGTTCTTACCCAATATCATATTCTCCTGTATATTCATTATGCGGTATTTTTTCTAAAACTTTAATGTAATCATATGGTAACTGACTTTCATATGCACCATTTAATATTGTTTCTCTGTAAAGGAATAGTTAATTATGTAATAAATTTCGAATAAATTTAACAGAATTAAATTAACATACAGATATAATGGTGAAGGTCTTCTATGCTTTGGTAGTAGATGTAATTTTATATGTTCATTTGGATTGTTACATTGCTGGTACACTCTGCATTTTAATATTTTACCAGTAAGTGTTTCTATGTCAACCATTAAAGGGAAATATAATTTATCTGCCACACCTTCTTGATTGTCCAATGTACAAATGTTACATTCATTTAATTCCCAAATTGCTCCCCACACAACATAATCTTCTGTAGGAACAATTGTTGCTGAACATCCACCCCATCTTTTTGAATGTGTTATAAAGTCTAATCTGAAATTCTGATATAATATTTGTATAATTAATAAAATTTTATTATTAAAACATGACATAAATTCTATTGTTTAAGATAAAAATGAATGTAATAAGTACGCACGTGAGAAATTTCCTTCGGTAGTATATATATTTACCTTCAAAAATCCGATATCTTTTCGTACTGCAGTTGAATTATTAATATGTATTCTTTGCGTTAACATATTACTTCCATATGCAAAATATAAAAATTTATTAGACATTTTAATCAATTTATAAAATTTGTTCAGGATAACTTATTAATGAAAACAAAGGAATGAATAGGTTAAGGTATCATTCGTTATCAGTATTACATATTGATTTACGATATTTACAAATGTATTATACTTAATTGTACATTATATCATTGTTCAACTGTATATTATACTTGCACAAATTTTATTTAAATAAAAATGTTACAATAAATGAATTAATGTCGGAATACAACTTAAAAAATTTTATTTACAGTTATACGAATTAAAAGTATAGTAAATAGGTATAGTTAAAGTAAATAGTATAAGGTATTGAATGTAAAAATGTATATTTACTTAATTATACATATTTAAAATTAAATATATTTAATTAATAATTATACCATTATTCAAATTTATAATTTGCATAAACCTCACGAAACATATCACGACAATTTATTTTAACTTGAAGCTTGGCACATAGTAAGAAAACTCCTGATAATTTTCTATGTAGACTATATATTTCTTCAGGTGGAGGGCAAAGCCTGTGATCTAATATTGTTGGGACTAGTGATTGAATTCTGTAATCAATATTATTATGATTTATTAATTTATTAATAATTTAATTTAATTAATATCAAATTATTCTTACTTTCTAGTTACATCTTGTCCACCGAAGTCATAATATTTAAAATTTTTATCGAATACTTGACCTAAGATCATTACCGTATCTACATGAGCTTCTTCCATGAGCTGAAATTAATGTAATATAATAAATGTACAAATATGTACAAATATGTATAAAAACGTACAAATGTAATTTTTCTAAAAATGAGCAATATTATTGAAAAATATATTATATTATATCAAAAAGTATATTATACTTTAGATTCGTATCCTGTAAGGAATCCCATTTCTCTAGATAAATTTAAAATTTTTTTACGATCGCCTTCACTTGCAGCATAAATTATTTCAATATATTTATCCATAAATGATTTTTCATATTCTCGACATGCACCAAAATCTAATAATATTAACTGAAAATTGTATTGAGAAATATAATTAATAATATCAAGAATATTATGAACTTACGAATAATAATATTTTATATACATATACATACCTGTCTTGTATTAGTATTATAAAAGAAATTGGACCAATTTGGATCAGTTTGCATATATCGAAAAACAAATAATTCTTTAAGGCATAATCTCATTATTAATTTGCAGATATGTTCCCTTGTTTCCATGTCCATATTTGTACATTTATCTACTGGAATTCCTTCTACCAGTTCAGTTGTAAAAATTTGACTCGTTGATAGTTCATCTAAATATAAAATTAGATTATTTTTATATTTAAATTGTTAATTTTTTACCTATTTACCAATTACAAATTTTATTAATTTACCTATTACAGCTGGCACATAGTAATCTGAATAAGGTTTCACAAGCTGTTTATATCTTCTTGTACATTCTGCTTCTCTGATATAATCCACTTCCCATGCCAGTTCACGTTTTGCAACGTCCACTACATTATCTATAAACATCCCTTTTGGAAAAATATTCCAAACCTGTAAAAGTTTCTAAATATATTTCCAGGCGATCTACAATAAAATAAAAATCAAAATACTTTGATACCTTCATTATGCCTACTAAATTTTCAACATCACTTTGAATACCCATGGCTACACCAGGATATTGGATTTTAATTGCAACACTTTGCCCATTTAACAAAGTACCATAATGTACCTGGCCTATAATATTTTTTCTAGCATGAAGAATGTTCTTTAAAATAAAGCTTCTTTAATTTAAAAAAAAAATATAGTAATTACCAATGGAAGCTGCAGCAAATGGTCTATCTTCAAATGTGGCTAATTTATTTCTCCAATCGTGTCCAAGTTCAGTACCTAATACTTTTTCAACTTGCCATGTTGGCATGAAATCAGCACTTTGTCTAACTCGTTCAAATACTTTTTGTAATTCAGGACTTATAATTGTATCATCTTGTATACTTAAAATTTGTCCGATTTTTAAAGCTGCACCTATTATAAATACATATATTAATAAATGTACCTATTATATGGCTATTAATTGATAAAGGATACTTACCTCTTACTTTACATAAAGTAGAAACTATTCTTTCTGCATTTGCTTTAGTAAGAAACAAGCTATCAAATGTGTCTCCAAGACTTTGTTTTTTTAATCCAAATGTTCTGCGTGTATATTCTGCAAAAGTACCCACACCAAGACCAACTCCTAATGTTCCAAAGCTTATCATTCTTTGTAATCTGGTGGATGGAACTTTTTGTTCTTTTGCATTAGGTGAAAGCTTTGAGAGAAAAATTTATTTATTATATATTTACATAAAATGCATTATATAATATAATTTATATTAAATATAAAAGCTCACAGTTTGTTTTGGTCTAACAGATAGTTTTGGTTTAGTTTGAAAATTGTCTGGAGCTGTTTTTACATTTTTTGTTGTTTCAGTTTCTAATATCTTAGAATCAGCTTTTAGCGTATCTGATATATCCTGTTGTATGTTCTGACTTTTTATGTTTTTTTCATGCTCTAATTCCAATTTCTTTAAAATTGCTTTATCTTTCTCAGAAAGTACAATTTTAGGTACTTCATGTTCTAGTTTGGAAATTGTTTCAATTTTTTCTTTTACAGTTGAGTACTTTTTTGAAAGATTATCCTGTTTATCTTGTACATCGCTTTTAGTAACAGATTTCATGTTTTGAATATCCATCCCTACTATCACTTCTTTTGGATCTTTAGCAGGATTATAAATATGTAATTTAGATTTCATAGATTTTACAGGTTTATCTGGATCAAGTGATATTCCTGTCACTTCCTTAGTTCTTAATTTTATAAATTCTATTATGCCCTTTTCAACAACATTTATTCGTTCTGCCACTTCTTTAAGGTCTTTTGTTATCTGAACCTATACATATGTTATACTGTACAAAAATTATAATATTCATTTGTAAAATTAATTTATTTTAATGACCACCAAATAATAATGTTATAGTTAGATTATTGTTATATTATAAAAGTATTTGTCATGATAAAAAAATATATTAATAATTTTTATTTATTTTTGGAACTTACAGGAATTTTATTTGGTTCTATATTATTCAATGTTTTCAAATTATCTGTCAGATATTTTTCTGCAGTAATTTTTAAGCTTGAAGTCCTTATTAAATGTTTAACTGTTTCTTCTTGGTATTTAATCACAGCATCAGCTACTATCTTAGCTCCTCTAAGTATACCAATGACATCAGGCACTCGATGTTGAGACATTTCTGTAATACAATTGATTTATAAACTGGTTGTAACATACTTGCCTATTGAGGTATAAATTTGACTGATAATATTATTTCTTTTATATACATACAGACACACATACATCTATTCTTTCTTTTTATATTAAGTTTTTCTATCTACTTATAAAGAGTGTTTCGATTTTAAGAAATTACGTACTTGAATATTAATGTTCCACCAGTAGTGCATATGTCTAAAATAAATGCAGACCTTGAAATGTACAAAAAAGGTTATAGTACAACATACTGGGGCCTTTTTGTTATTATAGATATTTCTGTGTCTGATAATTCTATGTCATTTTTTAAATAAAAATAAGTTCTTAATTACGATATCTGTCTTTTTCTTCAATGTTTAAATTGCTTAGAAATGCCTTAGAAATATGTATCATAAAGAAACTTCTACATCAGTGTTGTACAATATATATAACCTAAAGAAAATTAATATACATAATACAATCCATGTTCTCGAATGTTTAGAGCATATATATATATATATAGAGAGAGAGAGAGAGAGAGAGACATTAACGGTTTATATTGTTATCTATCGCAAAATATTAATTAATTAAACTATATTAATTAAAAGAACTTTTTTTATTGTGATGAGTTTTCTCTAATATTTTTTATTTTATTAAATTATATTTTTAATTTATTAATAACATTTTATTATCTGTTAATTAAGAAATTACAGAAATTCTACAATTTATTAAGAATATCTTTGTTTAATGCATTGTTTACAAATTATATATAAATGTACATATACATATATATTGCAAAAAACAAAGTTTAAATACATACGTAATAAATTTTAAAAAGTGAACTTTTTAAATTCACTTATAATAAAAATGGCAAAAAATCATTTGATTATTGAAGTAACAAGATTGTTACTTTAATAATTTTTTTGAACAAAAATTTTAAATCTTAATTTCTTAATATTTATATTTATCAACACTTTATAAGCTCTACATTATATTAATTTTATTTATATACACAGTATATATTTTTCTCGTTGTACCTTTATAGAATTAGAAAAACATGAAATTTATTATAAAACAAATTCTAAATATTTTGGGATGTTTTTAAATTAATAAATTTAAATTTAACTTATAAAATCATTTCCTACAAAAATGATCAGCGATTATAAATTTAATTCTGTTTATACATCTTGAGGCAATCTCAATGAATTAAAGTAATGCACAAAATTATTAGATGTATATGAATAGCAATATTTATAAAAATGCTATTTACTTTAAGCGTATATTTAATATATGTATCTACGTATATATATCTATTATTGTATACAAGATTCTTATCTGAAAAATTCTTGTATATCTGAAAACTTTGTAAAATTTCTTTGAGATTTTTTCTCAAAAATTTTTAGAATTTTTAATAACATTTCTTTTGATATCAAGATTTATTAAGTATGTATGCAAAAAGAGACCACCTCATTAGATTCATGTTTTGTTTTAAAAATATATATAAAAGAAAGAAACTTAACTTTATAACAACAAGGTTAAATATAATAAATTGACATTCATTAAAATTAAATAACATTTGGTTGATCTGGAATAAGCGATGCAAAAAATGTACTGAAAAATGTCCAAGTAAAAGCAAGTGCACCAGGTCTCTCCTCTTCATGTTCTTCATTTGCATTTGTTCTTGCCTCTGCCTGTACTGTTGGAACTTGACCATTTTGTTGCTGTGGTACAGCTTGAGGTCCTATTGCTTCATTTTGTAATATTTGATTATTGTTATCCATCCGGTCTCCTCTACCGTTATTATTTTCAGCTAATAAAATAGGTTGTACTCGGAAAAAACCACCTTGATATCTATGAAGTATTCATTTGATTATACATATTTGTAATGAGAAATGCATGTATGATATTTATATGTATTAACTTACAGATACATTGCAAAGCCAAGAAACGTAACAATCAGAAATCTTAGAGGAGATGAATAAAAATATACTATACTGAAAAGAACAATTATTCTAGACAGCATGTAAAAAACATCTAGCCAATCTCTGTTAAATGCACCATCTTCTCCAGCACCATTATTTCCTCCATTAACATCACCTTCTTGAGCACCAGGTTGTTGCTCGTCACCTACATTGTTATTATTATTGTTGTTGTTATTGTTATTATTATTATTGCTGTTGTTATTATTTGTGTTATTTGTATATGGATTTTGAACACTATTATTTGTATTGACATTCATTTGTTGAACATATGGAATGCTAGTTTGTAATTGTATTCCTTGTGCTGCTATTCTGTAATAAAATATTTCTTTTCACTGTATGATATATAATTTTCAAAACTAAGGTAAAATTTACAAAAATACTGCTTACAATTGCATATATTGTGTAAAATAATGGTTATATGCTTGTTGCATCCAAGCCATTTGTTGACTATTCCGTGGATCAAAATATTGTGTAGAGTACAGTTGTGCAGAAGTATGTTGCATAGCAACATTATTATTATTATTGTTATTGTTATTATGTTGACTTTGATTTTGTATATTATTCGTGTTATTTAATCTCATATGTTCTGTACTTCTTACAACAGAAATTATATTTGTGTTTTCTACGACTTGGTCAGTCATTATTTTATTTGTCAATGTCTTTTGTGAAGCGCAGACCAAGTGAATTATATAAGTTTGATCCTCTTGTCCATTACAGTGTCTCAACACATCTTTTAAACACACGGAATCATTTAATAATTGTCCTGAATATATAAGTTTTTGGTTTGCTGGCTCCTAAGGATACAAATAAGAAAATCTATTAGCATACTGTTTCATACATAATACTCTTGCTATCCGCAACTGACTCAGAATTAAAAATCAATTGTTATAAATAAATGAGAAAAATAAAGTTATTTTACTATTGATAATTAAATTGTAATCGTTATAACTGTAAAAATATCAACATATTATCTCCAGTAAATAATATACTGGAGAATACATTCGAATCAAGGAAAATGTTTACAATTATTTTGCATCTCTCGAAACATTAATGATATGTTAATCTCATCGAATATAACTTTCACAAAATTTTACACGACGAGATTCACTAAACAAAAGCAAACTGAAGTAAAACTCACTGGTTTATTGGGATAAACGTCGGACAAATATTCTTTCAATTGGCCCACGGTCCACCCAATGTTGCAATTTATTATTTGATCTTTAATCTGCTGATTCGGTGCTTTTATTATTATTCTGACCGCGGCTCTTTCCATCGTTAATATAATTAGCCCTGTGTCTCCTTTGATCAGCTGTTCTCACTCTCAGCCACTCGGTGAAATTAATTAACAATGCTAACAGCCTGATATAACTGCGTTCGAAAGACTTATACGCAGCGTCGTCTCTTTATCTCCTTTTCTTTTTTCCTTCATCAAATCAATCTGTCGATTTACACAAAATCCTTGCCACTGTTTACTTGGTATTCATTCATAGCTGACGTATCATAGCTTCGTAACTCAAGCGGACATTTAATCGTAGATATATTTTTGTAAGCATCACTAAATGGAATCGCGTATTTGGCGATTTATCATTGGTCGTAGATTACAATTTATTTATATTCTGATAAGAGCTGATTCTCAAGTTCGTATTGCTTTATGGTAATATCGTAACGCATGAAAGTTCATGAAAACTGCATCGTAGCTACAGTTTGGCGCCAATAGAATTTAGCAACCTTTACCAGAGAATTGACGTTTTCGAAATTTCTGAGTTTGAATTTGAATTGAATAAAGTTTAAATGCAATGCAATGTGAGCATTATTTCACTTATTTTATTAAACCTGTTTTATTGAAGTAGTTTAGTGTTTGTTTCTTGTGCGAAAATTGATAAGTCGTAAACATTGACTGTCGGAAAATAATGTTAATATAAATTTAACCTTGCAGTATATTTCGATTTTTCAATTGTTTATTATACACGTTTGTATTATTCAGAGTTGAAAATTTATTTAACTTCACTTCGCAATTTTTCAATTGTTTACAATTATTTACACAAGTTGTAATTTATGAATGAAAACATTTTTTATGATACTTTTAAAATATTTTTTTTTTCCATAGGATTCCTTTCAAATCTACTAGAAACAGTTCAAGACGGTCTTCTGTAAGTATATTAATATTTTTAAAAATATTTGCAGAAATATTGATATTAGCTTTGATTCTGTAACATATTTTTGCTATATGTTTTTCTTTAGTTTGTGTACTGTAACTTGAGTTGTATATCAAGCTACATCGACTCGACTAAATCAGTTTAATTTAATATGGTTAGATTTAATAATAAGTTTAACTTGTTCCTCAGAAATTTTGTTTAACACCATTGTTACAAATATTAGATACTTAAGCCTCCGAAACCACGTCATCCTCTGCAGAACTTAAACTTTAGTAGTTCATCTAATGAAAATAGCCCTACTACTACAACAAAGATTAAAAGACGTGTTAGTTTTGCAGAAAAAAAACATGTCAAGTGAGTTAATTATATTCCTTAAAATCTATTTTTAATAAATTTTCATAGTTTGTCCGTTAATTCATAATATAAAATACATTGTACAGAGAATTTTGCAATTCTTTGGAGCAAGGAACTGTATGGAACAACACATATGAAGAAAATGATTTAAGCAATCTTAAAATACCTTGTTCTTCTAATCAAAAAGAATGTGAGATCGAAAGTATATTTAAAGAGAATTTTTTTGATAATCATGAAAATGATGCACAATCTGATTACAATAAAGTAATGGAAGAAAATGTTAATAGTAAAGAGGATAGTTTACATGTTATAAATGTAGTTAAAAATGTAAATTGTCAAGATGAAATGTTAATGACTGAACCATTAATTACACTTCATGATGCAGTTGTTGAAGAAAATAAATCTATTTCATTGACTAATTTGCAATTAGACAATGATAATCACATATCAAAAAGTATTACTGTGTATGAAGACTGTAATAGAAAATTAAATGAAAAAATGTCAAAGTTATCAAATCATAATGATTTAAATACTAAATCTGTTAAGAAAATATGTACGGATTTAACTAAAGTTGTTTGCAATAACATATGTTTTGATGTAAACTATATTAAAAATACTGTAACTGAAAAGGTGCCTGAAAATGTATCAATGGAACTGACACAAATTATTTTACCATCAGAAAATATACAAAACATGTCAATGGAATTAACTGTACCCTTATTATCTGTCATTAATGATAATATTAATAATGTAAAGATGACTACATGTGAAAATGATAGAACTAAAAACTTTCATAATATTTCAATGGAAATGACTACAGCAGTATCTATGTGTAATTTGCAGTCAAATAGTAATTATTGTGTTGATAATGATAATAAAACAACTTTTTTTAATGATGTACAAGATGAAAAAACTAAATTATTAAATACATCTATGGAAGTAACTAGTGTAGTTCCAACTAATACACATACAAAAATTTGTACAAAAGAAGTAACTGATCCTAATAATCCAGAGAATAGCACTATCACTAAACTATCACAATGTGAATATAATATTGCAAAGCAAGATGAAAAAACTAAATTATTAAATACATCTATGGAAGTAACTAGTGTAGTTCCAACTAATACACATACAAAAATTTGTACAAAAGAAGTAACTGATCCTAATAATCCAGAGAATAGCACTATCACTAAACTATCACAATGTGAATATAATATTGCAAAGCAAGATGAAAAAACTAAATTATTAAATACATCTATGGAAGTAACTAGTGTAGTTCCAACTAATACACATACAAAAATTTGTACAAAAGAAGTAACTGATCCTAATAATCCAGAGAATAGCACTATCACTAAACTATCACAATGTGAATATAATATTGCAAAGCAAGATGAAAAAACTAAATTATTAAATACATCTATGGAAATAACTAGTGTAGTTCCAGCTAATGCACATACAAAAATTCATAGAGAAGATACAACTAATCTCAATAGTCCAGAGAATAATATTAAAAAATTAAGAATTGATCCAATTTATGAAACATTGGCAAATCTTAGTAGAACTAGAATGTATTCTAGTGAGTCAATGGAATTCACCACAGATGTAGCAACTTCACCAAAAATAAGAGTATCGGAGCACCAAAATAATTTACAAACAACTATACAAAATACCTCTTACACCCAATCGAATTCAGCTTCAATATTTGGCAGCTGTAATAGTCATATATCATCAAACAAAACTATTATTTTTCAAAATAATTCTACATTTACAAACATATTACCACTTGATGTAAGAGACAATAGCGGAAAAGCAAGAGTAACAGACTGTGAAACAAATATAAATGAAAATATAGCTATAGTAACAACGCAATCGCAAACTGAAATAAATTCTGATACAGATTCCATTAAAATTAGACAGTCAGTATTATCTGATAATATTCAAAATAGAGATCTTGCAGATTTCACAACTTGTACAGATAATATCTTAAAAGATATTACTACTATAGCAATTCCTTGTACATTAAGTTCAGAAACTGTTTCGGATGAAGAAAAGTTTATAGATAAAGAAAATAATTTTTCAAAAAGGGTAGAAAATGTTCTGGATAAGTCCAATTTAATTAAACTTCAAAATTCTGTAAATGTTACATCTAGCATGGGTTTACATGAGTCAGTACAGCAAGATATTTTTGTCTCAGGTTTAAGAAAAAACACAGAAGTACCTTGTACTACATATAACTCTATGTCAAATGATTTTTTTTCTGCTGTAAATTCAAAGCTAAATAAAGATAAAGATAAACATGCACAAACAATTACATCACATCCAAGAAGAACATATACAATTCAATCATTAGACAGTAATCATACTTTTACAATCAGTAACAAAGAAAATACTAACGTTTTACAAATTAATGATAATAATTTCGGTATCAATAATCAAGAAAATAATGTATTAAATAGTGAAAAATGTTTACAAAAGAATGAAAATTATAATGAAGAATGCCCAATTAATAAAAGTGATATAATTTTCAATGAAAATGTAGAAATATTAGAATCGATTAAAACGCCAACATTTTATTGTTTGGATGATTTATCAGATATAGATCAATCTATAAACGTTAATTGTAATCAAGAAATTAATTGTTTTTCAAAAAATAGAAATGATGAACACGAAGATACTTCAAATTTCAATGATTATCAGGCGGATATATTAGATGAAAATGTGCGAAAATCTTGCACATTTATGATCAAATGTGCGTCTTCAAATTCAAAGCTTGATCAAGTACAAGCTGATGAAATTCAGAAATTGGAATTGCTAGATGTGAGAAATACCAATATAAAGTCTCAAATTATAAAATGTTCATCTCCGATAATGAACGATACTGAAAAATTATCTCAGACGTTTGATGTTGAAGAAAATATTCAAGATTTATGCTTGAATAATTCTAATTTCGAAAATCAAAACATACAATGTTTATCAAATGTAAGAGCAATGTGTGAAAATACTCTAAAAGTTAACGATGATGACAAGTCAGTTGATATAAATAGGATGAAAATGAATAAAGAATCTTATACAAATGAAAAATTGGAACAATGTTTGAAAACTCATACTTGCATAGAAGGAAATGTTGCGATCGAACTAAACTTATTCTCTTTTTTAATGAACGAATTGAAAGATTATACGAAAAGGTACTTGAATATATTTAATATCTTATTTACTATTATTTACTATTAATATCTTTCTTACTATTAAATCTTTCATTATTTCATTAATGCCATATCGAATAATTCTTGCAATATTTTTTTAGTGACGAAATTATTTGGGAAATATACCACGAAAATATTGAAAAAAATATGTTTATTGCTGGTTTTATATCGTGTTCACTGTTAGTGGTAATATTTATACGGGATCTTCGTGATGTAACAAATAATGAATTTATTAAAGACATTAAACTAATTTCTCGTTTAGCAGGTAAGTTCAAGAAATAGATTAACGGAACAGCTATTAATTTATATTTAATGCAGCTTGTTTAAAAATATTTTGATTTATTAGATGACGCGGATGTACTCATGAATATAGTTCACCGGATAATTTTAGAAAAGTTAGACGTAAAAAAGTTGTTAGATTTGTACAAAAATCGTGAAGATATATTATTGATGTTAGATTTCATTTCGAAGGAAGTAAAGCTAGCTATGGATTTTATGTTCGAGTTGAAATGTTTGAATGATTTAAATTTAATGGAAATAACTCGTGATCGGTAAGTATTATAGGATCTATATAATTTTTATATTCAATACAGTATGTGCATTTTTCTTTTATTTTAGAATATCTTTTGTATCGCAAACTAGAACGGGAAACATAATATTAGAGATTACAATTGATATCAAACCATTTGACAAGATTGAACCTCGGAACATCTCCATTCATTGTCTTATGGGTTCCGTGAGGTCAGTTTCAAAAGTATTTGATGGACGATATAAAGTATAAAGAATTATTTCACTTTACTAACTTAATTATTTTATAGGGAGGAAGATGTTAAAAAATTGATAATGAATATAAAAAGGGATCATAAGTTTTTACGAAAATATATAAACGATGTGAAAGATTATATATATTTAGTGGAAGAGTCTGTTATATGATTGAAAAATTATATTAGCACATTCTCCATGAAGATATATCAATTAAAATGCAATAATTAATTAATGGAACTTGATTCTAAATAACTGAATTAATTATATTGTAATAATGTTTTATACGCTCATCATGCGCATGCATAATAAAATATTTTATATTTTTCTAAGCTAATATTGTACAGATAATTAAATTACATGACGAAATTATCCTAATGTAATTAAATATTTTTTTATTTAGAACTCTACTAAGCAAATATTTATTTGTTTAGAGTTGCGATTCAAAAATTTTTTTTTTCATGTGTATAATAGTACAGAAACATAAAGTTACAAGAAAAGATTATATATAATTAACTAATTCTCTGATTCAGCCAATTTTTTATTCAAATATTTATGACCCTTTCAATAATATCGTGCAAACAGCTGGCTTTCTATCAATATTAAAATTTGTATTAAAATTGCACAAAAACTTTCCGGGAATTTATAAAATTTTACTTCTGTTTGAATAATTTGGATCTTAAAACGAAGACAAAACTATTTTAAACCAAACTTTAGATTTTTTTATTGAAAAATATTATATTCTTCTGATTTTTACATTAGAAATTTTCAGTTATTTAATTTTTAAAAAATTCTGAAAATTTTTGCACAGAGACGGAGAAATTAGTGAAGCAAAAAGAGAAAATCTTGATAGAACATAATATAACATAATGTTACAAGAATTATTCACCAATATTAATTTTTGTTTGTAAGAAACATAAATTTCCACCTCAAATTTATGATATATATTTAATAATATATTTAATATATTTATTTATAATATAATATTTAATATATTTCCAAATTTACACACAAAAATATCATATAAGTATTAACGTTATTATACAGAAACTTGTTTATTAATATTAAAAAAGGAAATTAACATTATTGGTGTATACCATTAAATATTACTTTTCGATTAATACATTATAAACATATGGCTCCTTAAAGAAATCAAACTTTCTTTCACCGCAATTACGCCAGTCCTACTCGCGTGGGTGTAAAGGCCCGGTTTTATATGATTTCGTAACAGCGACAGACCGATTTCCAATGTCAAAAAATACTTCTCGCGAAGATCCCGCAAACCTTTAGAATTGGCCACCAAAAGGCCTTTTATTACATTGAAGCGAAGCATGATTGCACGTGAATATCCAATTGTGAAATTGCCAATGATCATGTTAAACAACCAAGAATGATAAATCTTAACGATGGACAATAAATCATTAAAATATTAAATAAAGAAGAATTAAATCTGGTAAAGCAATATGATATACGTAAACAACGACATGAATCCTTCAATCATTAATATTATATTCAAATTGAAATTCTTCCTCAAATGACGATTCTTCTTCCTGCGTCCCTATTTCTCAAATCTTCTTTGAGGTTCTTTATTCTGAAGAATAAAGTACGTGTGAGTACGCGCGCCGAATTCGAAAATGCGGTATGCTATTTTCGAGTTTGATCTATAAGTGATTTCGGTATCGTGGCTTAATTTCGAGCTTAGCTTTGGCCAGCAAATAAGAAAGACAAGATTGAAGGGCGACGTCAATGAGGCGGGTGACGTCGCGTCGGTTCGACGATACTTGCTCTGGACTACAAGTACGAGGCGGATAGCTGCTGGAGCAACAGCGGCAATGTGTAAGTGGGCGTAAGGGCCGAGAGAGAGAACGTCGTCCCGTGTTCCATACATGGCTATGCTATGTGGAAACCGAGAGACACAGAGAGACGGACGCACCGGCGGAGTCCCCACCGTGTGGACACGGCGAAGGCGTCGTTTTCTCGACACGAGTGCCCACCGCATGTTTCGTGCACAGTGTGTGCTAGCACGACGTCGTTGCACGACCGTTCTCCTTTTTTGTGTTCACAATAATACGATCGGTCGTTGAATCCGAAATCTCCGTAAGAGACGAGACGGTATAATACAAGTCGGTACAATTGCAAGAGGAGAAAACGCGAGGCTTCAAACTAGCCGCATAGGAAGATGCACTCGCGAACACGTCACTGGCGTGGGTGTTGCCGTTCCTTTTGCCTATTTTGAATAAAAAAAAGGTGGCAGACAGCGTGGTCCAGAACAGTCCAGTTTCGAAGTTGAAGCAGGTCCGCGCCTATGGCCGAGTGACAGCTCTTTCGGTTGAGCGAGCGTGCGATTGGTCCGCTTGTGCCTACTCTTAACGTTACCGTGTGTTGCCTGTGTGCAACAATCAACGTGGGTTGGATGCGTAAGTGCGCCTGCGCGAGTGCTACGACGTACCAGCCGCGTGTACGTGTGCCGCGCGTGAAGAGAGCCACAGGGGCCACAAATCCCAGATCAAAGGGACATATATTACTATAGGTACGTGTATACATACGTGTAAGAACCTCTGACAATGAATTTTAGAGATGAATTCCTGCTTGTCCCCTGTTCCTTACCATTCCTGCCTGCCCCCGATATTTTCTACTGTAAGCAATTAATTATTAGCGTTTTCTTTACACTTTTATTAATCCCAAGTGTACTATTTTCGAGATTTCACTTTTCTATTCAATTTTCTCAATTTTTGAGTATCTTCATTCATTAAAATCGAAATCATTCATTGAATTAAATTCATCATCAGTTTAATTCAATCATGAGTTACTGCAAGCGAATTATTGTACCTTTAATCAAAGTTTCAATTAGTTTTGTAATTTTGTTCAAAAGTCTTCGAAGAATACATACAATAAAGTTTATTGAACATATATGTATCCACCCTTTACTATTGAATTTATTTATTTATTCACCTTATGAAATATTAACTTTTTTTTTTACTCGATTAAGCTATAGCGTATAAGTTTTACAAAACTTGTTTGAAAATTTTTAAGAAATTTTTTAAGAATGCTTTTAGAGGAAACATATGTATATTCTTCAAAAAGCTCGTGAATGGAAATTGTAACATAAACGTGATTATAAAGTTCTTTACGATGTTCGTCGTTATGTTTGTCTGCCGTTTTTTGATAATCGCTTTTAATATCCCGCGAAGGCGAAAACCAGTTTCACGTCAGGAGACGGACATTGGCGAATCGTGATACGAAAGAAGGAAGGAATCGCTCAATCGATGATCATGCTTCTTTCAACGAGAACTTACAATAGTGACAGAAAGGTCACTATCTTTGAACGTTATACACGGCTGTTTATGTTTACGTCTTCTAGCTTCCTTCGCGGGTTTATTTTAAACTTTGACTTTTCTCGATTGCTTAATAACAAATCAACACGTAGCATTTTCAACGTGAAAAAAGCAGTCGCACTTCTAACATCCACGTTAACATCCCACGGTTTACCCGACAATTTTCTAGCGTTTCCATTCCCTTCCTATCTAGAACAGAAAATCATGATCTTTCTCGTTTAATTTCATATTTCATGCTCGTTCTTTTTCAACAGTTCTTCCATCTGCCATTTTTCTTTAATATTTCAAGACTCTTGCTTTCTCAATCCAGCTCTTTTTCTAGCGAGCGGCGTACGATTCTCAAATTTTGCCAATTCAGAGAGCGTTTTCGCCCGAGGTGGCTCATATTTTAATACCTCGTCCATGATTTCCGATACAGCTAGTGGCTTGAATTTCAAACTGATCCTTCGTCGAAGATTTAGGACATTATCCACCGTGTTTTTTATGAATTCCAACGGAATGCCTACGGACATCTTTGCCATCGTGGAAATGTCGATATCGCGATTAACTCCGTGATACTTCATCAGCAGATCTTTGTAAAACATGTACAATGTGTTGTAGTCCGTGAGAGGAATCATTATGAACTTGTCGTGGATCCTGATGAAGGGTCTTGTTGCTTTATATGGTTCTGAGGAGGTCGTGAGAAATAGGATCTGGAAAATATATTACGTTCCAGTGTATCGAACGATTGTATCGAACATTCATTCAACATTCTTTCGAAAAGTAATCAGTAAACTATTTAGCACTCTATTGCTAATTATTAACTTTGTACGTATACATTTTGTAATTTCTTTCATAAGTGCGTAAAAATCTATGGTTTAGCAATCAGCCATTTAGTAATATATTAGAAAAATGATTTCACGTAATAGTTTCCTCTTTCTTATATTCGGATTGTTAAATTCATCGTAATGTCAATTTTATATCGTAGAATATTTTACGCCAATGAGTAACAGTATCTTGTTCGGAATCACCGACACTCTAAATCCTACGTTAACTCGGTACCACCTACGTTCCGATGGTTCGGTAGGAGGTGTTCCATTGATGACCAGCTTCGAACGATCGAGACGTTTGGAAAAAAAGATAGAGGGGAAGCTGGCTTATTGAGGTGGTTCATTCATATCGGAGAAAGAGTCGAAACAGGAATATCAAGAATTTCATAAAGTGGGTGCTACCAAATCACCAAGTTTAACATTCCTCGCCAGTTTAGGTGAGACACTGCGTGTGAGCTCATTCGATTGCGAAATCAAAATACTCTTTTTCTTTTATCGTTTCGAGTAACAACGGGTGAAATACGAATTATAATACACCTAACTAAAATAACTTTTTAGTTGTAGATTTACCTGGTCGCCACGTTTGATACTCTTTACTAATCGAGGATAGTATCGAGCAAATCGTTTCGGTTTCAGCTGTCTGTCTTCCTCAGATAGCGTTCTCGACCAAAGCTTTTCACTGTTGTCAATGAAAATTACAGAAGGAGCGTATGCTCGAGCTATCTCGGAGATCATGTTCATTAATTTGCGCTCGTTCTTTCGTCCCATATACTTGTCTACCAACACCGTGGGCGTCATATCGAATAGCAATGCTCCAACCTTTGGTTTAAATTTATTAGCTTATTAATTATTGATTAGTGTCGATTTTGAAACGTTTTAGATACTATCGGAGTAAAAAAAAAAAAAAAAAAAAAAAAAATGGATAGAAACCTCGGAACAGATTGCGTTCACCAGAAAATTCTTGCCGTGTCGAGCGAGACCATAGATACAAACGGCTCGAATTAAAGGCGCGACTTGATGAATTTCTCTCGAACTGAGAGGAAGCACGCAATAATCCATGACAATCTGTCTAACTTCGCCCATTCGATGATTATAATTTCGTGCTTCCCGAGCTGCTTCGTAATTTTGATATGAAAGATCTCCTATCCAATCGTTGAGGAATGTTTTGGGATAATCTTTAATGATATTAGCTCTGACTAACTCTTTAAAATTATTTTCCACGCTTTCACCGCTCGGGACTCTCTGCTCCTTTTCTTTTCTAGCTCTTCTTTCTATTAATGATGTCAGTGAGAATTTGATGACGAAAGAATAATAATTAATTTTAAATATCTCGATTTTTAGCGATAGAATTTTCAAGTTGTTATCTATTTTCAATTGGAGATTATTAAAACTAGAGTCTGCTGTCACGAGGCATGTGCGGTAATAATTGTGATAATGATTAATTATACCTTGATGTGTGCAACACGCTTTTTGGTGCGATTTATTTCTCATTTTATTTACTATTGAATTAAATTTATGTATTATGTTAAATTTAATTTAAATATCTTACTTTTCTCGGTAGGTATAACAAGCGTCCGTTTATCAGCTTTATAGTCTTTCGTTAGTGCTGCGTTCAATTTTTTCAATTCCAGCCTCATCAACTCATCGACTATTTTCCTCATTTCTAATTGAAGTTCGTAACAAAGTTTATCCTTGATTAAATCGTGGTATATTTCCTCTCGATATTCATTTGTACGATGTCGAAAACTCCAGTTATTAATAAAGTCCTGGTTAGCCTCGTTAAGAAGAGAGAACGTCTTTGTTTGTCGTATCCATGGCTCTTTTTCCTTGGGTCTCGCCCTCGTAATTGTTGGTGCTTTCGCTGTTTCTTTGATCATTTTCTCCGCCAGGTATTCCTGTGGTGTTAAAGTTTGTCCGGTAGCGATTAGCACGCTGCCACCTAAATGTGCAACTGGATACGCATCAAAGTGCCCCACATCATTATACCACATTATGAACCATTCTCGAATCTCATCAGTAATATCCTCCATCAAACCAGGACCTCTGATTTTCCACAGCTTAAACGATATAAATAATAATTTAGTTCATTTGCGATTATTGCAAACTGTAATATTGTAGTAAATATCAAAATTAAATATATCAGAGATTTTAGTAAATTCTCGAGTATTGATGTTGGAATGTCCTCATCGACCCACAAATAAAGACTGGATTAATCCTGACATTTTAGTTTATATTTTAATCCTGATATTTTTATTCTATAACACTACATATAAAACTACATAAGTGACTTTATCTTTTAACACTGAATCATTCCACCATTCTGTTATATGTTATATGTCGTTGGAAAATTTCTTAAATTTGAAAAAGATTTTTCTATATAGAATTTTTTTTATTATTTCAATCCTTTTTTATATGTTGAAATGAAAATGATATCAAGACAGTAAAAGTTCAGGGAACGCGAGTAAGTACTAAGTAAAATTTAATTGTCATAAATGTTTTCAGTAGGTTTTCGTTATAGCATTATACATGTACAATAAAATAAAAGATTTATCATTTATAACAATAAATAAAAGAAAAGAAAAGATTTATCATTTACAACAATGACTCAGTTTTCGTTAAATACAGATATTAAGATATCAATTTCAAAGAAGATTACTCTTGCTCGCTCCTTCTCTGTCGCCTTTATGATTTCATTAGCAAATCCCGGCATTAACGTTAATTTTTTCTGAAAATTTTCCCTGTCTTTCTTGAAAACATCTTGAGATTTCCAACTAGGTATTGCTATGCCCAATAATTCTTCCGTACGTTCGTTTCGATTTCTCATTTTCTTCCTCGCTACGTGTATTCTCCAGGCTCGCTGTATGGTTTCAGCAGCATTTTCGTACGTACTTTTGTGCAATTTTTTCGGTACGATAAATCCCATTTCTACCTTCTTGTTGTAATTGTGCATTCGTTGTGCTACGTTATCAAAACGTAGACATTTTTATATGAAAACAGTTGACGGTATTAAAGAACAAATTTATTTGGTTTTACCGTCGATTCCAACGCAACGACCTATTCTTGCTCTTTCGTGGGACTGAATGAGCAATATCGCTGCTCGCATTGTTTCTTCAGCAATTTCTCGAGATGTTCGAATCCTTTCTTGTACAGGCAACGGTTCCGAAATTATTTCTCTAACTCTCCTTCTCCTCAATTTTATTGCGCTTTCGGTCGCCTCCGTTATTTCCATCACAGAATGTTCTTTGCTTTCGATTTCTTCGGTTACTATTTAAAATAAATAGAAACCCCAAAAATAATGTTTCCGGCTTTGATATATATTTTCACATATTGCTATTTAAGTTATTTAAGCATGAATATCTGCAGTTTAAAGTTATTAAAGTCGAATAATTCTATAACTTTTATGAGCGTCTTCCATCAGTTTTTGAATACGTTCTCTACGCTGTTCGATGACGTCTTTACTCGATGCGGATACAAGAATTTCTACGTCGTCTGGTGTGTATTTTAATTGATTCATAAAGTCGTCAGGCCATCTGCACAGTTGACATCAATATATTTCTTCTGAAATGTGAACGTTTTAAAATGAAATTACTAAACTGATAATCACTGCAGTCCAAGTTAACGATCTCTTTCTTGTATTCCAGCATTCGGCCGACTGCACAATCCAGAACCCGTTTTATCAAGTCTCGTTTCTGCGTCTGAACCATTTGATCGTGACAAACTATCAATCTTTTCACTAAATTACGATATCTGAAAATGTATCCCATTAACTTCTGCAATTTACATATAATGAAATTACATTTTATAATTGGATAGATCTCAACACCTGAGATACGTTGGAAGTAGTAAATTCAACCCATCTTGTCTTGTACGCGTTCGTGTTTGCTGTTGCAGTTTTCGATCTAATTCTATTAACTTGTCCAAGTCGTTTCGCGTGATAAGCCATAAATCCGTGTAATAAGCATAGGACATTGATTTTTAGACGATTTCGCTGACAATTTTGTGTTATACAAATTTCTTATTAGACTATTGATTGATTGTTCATGTTGGATGATTTTAAGTTTTCAGATGATCGGAAACTAACAAATTGGGTTAATTGAAGTGGATGGTGATACTGGAAATGACACGATCAAGTTATAGGACGAAATTCAGTCGACACTTGTTGCGCCATTATTCATACTCATTTATTTTCTGTATAAATATTATATGCAGAGTACAATTGTACAATCGTGAAAGGGATGATTTTATATAAAAAACTGAATCGAAAATAAAGAAAAAAGTTTTTTCATTCGAGGATTTGTTTCTGAGAAAATCGTGCTCGGAAAAATTGATTAGAAATTTACCTAATTCCAAATTTGGTAGAAAAAAAATAACGAACAGGAGGTTATTTTATGTACAAGAATGAGTAAAAAATGTGTGTATTCTATGTATAAAAATGAATCAAGTTTTTTTTTAAATCAAAATCGAGTTTGAAAACTTACCAAGTGCGCATGTACCAAGATAATTTTTAATGAAATATACTCGAAGTCTGTTTCCTTGAATACGAACATTTTTTTTTTAAACATAATCATATGAATTTTTCGAAATAATTTTATTTCAGAATGCTGTGGACGCCACGATGTTCCCTAATTTTATTGTTAACAATGATGGCGTCTTGCATAGACGCAATGATGAGTGATTTCCTGGAAGATGAAACGACCATCAATACGATCTCGATGACTACCTCGGCATCGATGGTCATAACAACATCTAGTTTAAATAAAGCCGAGAAAACGATGGTTAATTCATCAAATACTGTAAAAAGCCAGAACGAGAAAAATGTTGAAGACCCGTCCCACGCATACTCACCTTCGTCTGATATGGTTTGGGAATGTCCAAATATTACAAAAGCGGGCGTCGAGTGTTCCTGCGACTTTCCACACACATTAAGATGCACCGGTGATAGAACAGCACTGCAGGTAATTTTTGTGTAACATTTTCATATCTCGTAATATTTTATCTTATATATGTAAGTGGACAAAATGAATTGAAAAATTATTTATTTAGCAGCAATTTAGCATACACGTTTAATTAAATGCGAAAGTCAAATTTGAATGTTCGGTTCCTTCCTCAAAATTTATGTTTTTATTACATCACTTTTTTATATCTTTTAGAAAACATTCGTTGCGACACAATAAACAAACTTATTATTTGTCTATATTATCGAGGTCAGCCGTTTTTTTTTTTTTTTTTTTTAAGTATTTGCTAAGCGAGCGTGGGTGTATACACTACGAATGAAATACAGATCGTATGTATTTTTCCAAGTAACTATTGTGATTGTCCTCTTCTATCCCATACATACTCGCTATTTTGTGTTGAATGTCCCGTTACCACTTCGACGAATAATTCTTGTCTCACAATATCTCCGTGAATCAAATGACTCTTGTTAATTAAATTTTTAACACGAGATTAATTGAATTCTTCGTTTGAATAATTGCAAATATTGCATGTTGCTATTTGTTAGCTATATTAGAATTGTGTCACAGTCTCAGTTTATTAATTTAAATGCCAAGTTATTTAACTGGAATGTTATTTATGTAGATTATCAGTCAACACTTAAGATTCAGCCGTCCAGGAACGATCTCTTTACTAGATGTAACAGTGACGGGAATCTCAATGCTACCAGCTCGTTTCCTCGAGGATGTTGCCTTGCACGGATTCGTCGTTTCTACCGGCGAATTGAGACGCGTTCATGAAAATGCTTTTATTGGTCTTGTAACACCTCTTCAAGCTCTTGGACTTCCGAACAATTTATTAGATTCTGTACCTACTGCAGCTTTATCGCATTTAATCGGCTTAGAAAGATTGGATCTGTCTCAGAATAAATTAAAGACGTTGGAGGCTGAGTCTTTTAAGGTAAAATTTCAAAATTTTGTTATCAAACGTCCATTATAATTATCAAATAACTATAGAAACAGAAATTAATCATAAAACTTAAGTCTGCTACGATTTTTCATATTTCTGACAGTACTTTTTTTCCTTGTTTTTTTAAATAAAAACTTTATATTATCTAAAGAATATGCTTATTTTTAATCAGTTAACGAGCATAATTTCGATACATATCTTTTGGAAAACGTAAAATTAAAAAAAAAAAGAAAGAAGAAATAAAAACGCCATTGGATAAAAAAGATTCGAAGTTTGTAACAAGGTTAAAGTAGTCAAGAGAATTGATGAAACATTTATTGAAACATTTCAGGGCTTATCAAATTTGACATACTTAGATTTGTGTGACAACTTATTGTCGCAATTATCGCCTCAAGCTTTTGTCGCACTGCCTTTGCTACGTTCGTTGAGGATACGCGGTAATCGTTTAAGCGTGTCAGCACTCTCAGCCCTCAGAGGACTTAAAAGTTTGGAGGAACTTGATTTGTCCAACAATTTATTGTTGGGCCCAATGGGTCCAAATCTTCTTCCTCAAATGCCACGATTACGTTTCTTAACTGTGTCTGAAAACGAGCTAATAAATGTACAGCAAGGAGCTCTTGTGGGTTTAAAGAATTTAACTTATCTGAGTTTAAGCCACAATCAGGTAATTTATATCGGAGTTTCATAAATTATGAATTTGAATTTATAAGTATGAATTATTATTCATTTTTACTTTTTACACAGATTGATGTATTGGAGGATCATTCGTTCAAATACCTATCGACTCTCACTAGACTCGATCTAGCAAATAATCGCATCGTTGCGGTATCCAGCGCTTCTTTGGCACATTTAGAAAAATTAGTAACTCTGGATTTGACGCATAATTTTTTGCGATCTCTGACTGCTGACTTGGTGGTACCATTAAAAAGTCTTCAAGATTTGCGTCTCGATGATAATGACATCACAATGGTGGCAAGCGATGTACCAACGTCCAAGTTACGGCTTACAAAACTTTCCTTGGCCGACAATCCTTTGAATTGTGATTGTACGCTTCTAGAATTCGCCAATTGGTTAAGTAATTCCAGCTTGAACGAAGAAGATAAGTCTTCAGCGGTCTGTGCAACACCACCCGCTTTGGAAAATGGTATACTGACGCAAGTCTCTCCCGGTAGCCTCCTTTGTGGTGAGCCGACACCGCCAATCATGACCAGACTGCCTCTAGCTGGTGCTCAATTAACACTGAAAGAATTTCATTATGACAAATCAATCGGTATTAATCTCTTATGGCATGTAGAACCATGCGCAGAGCGATATACATGTGATACCCTAATTGTATATGAAACCATAGGTGATAGCGAGGTTCAAACAGATTCTAGTTCTCTTCATTGCGACTCACGTATGATGAAAGATCCTTGTTCACTTCCGATCGCCATACCTGCTTCATTACATTTACAACCAAGCCATAAATATCGCTATTGCGTAGTACTCCTAGTACCAAATAGCTACGATGATGTTTCTTTAGGTTTGGGTTGCAGTGATGTAATTACATTAGAAGAATCTAAGCGAGTATTACAACAAAATCAAGAAACTGCAGTGTCAGGGTCTTCTTCGTCGTTAGACACCAGGATAACTGGAGTACACGTAAACGTATCTGACCAAGGTTTCATGTACGTCGACGTTAGCTTATCAATCTCGAAAAAGTTGAATCTACCTGAATGCGAACTTTCTGTCATCGTTTTTGATGCTGAATCTGCGGTGAATAAGCGAAAACTGAATTGCAGTTTAACGTTTGTAACGCTAGCTGTACTGTTACCTGGTCATTATAAAGTTTGCGCAAGTCTTGATGAAATCAGTGAAGAAGATGTTATCGCGAACTTTGTAAATAATCAAGATAGATTACGCTGCGTCGAAGTGCAAGGATTTAAGCAAAATACGGAGCTAATTGTCTTAGCGACAATCGGAGCTAGTTGTGTTCTTTTAATCACGTTTGTACTAATTGGTAGAAGCGTTTTGAAAAGAGTGAGACATCCCAGGATACAGACACAATGTTTCTTACCGGCACAGGAATTTGAAATAACTCACAAAGCACATTATATTAAATTATTAGCTACAACAAAAGTTTAAATCATCTTCATCGAGTATAATTCTGTTTCTCATTTTGTAAATAATCACAGCCTATTTGTTGTTGACTATTTAAAAATGAAATCCATATTTTTGAGTCAAATGAAAAATGTTGTAGTTGATCTTGTCGTACAAGTTTATTTCTATGAACTACTAGTCATAAAATCAATAATTTTAAATATAGTAGAATAATAGTAAATCATAAAAAATTTTAAGGATAAATAAAAATACAACTGAATATATCAAAAAATGGCACAAACAGATTATAATAACAATTTAAGAATATTCAAAACATCCAGTTTCTACACTGCCACAATAATTTATATCAGTTAATAATAACATATGATAAAAAGGAAGTTGTATGAAATTAACATTTTAAATAAAGACATATATACAATAATATTAGTTCATACAGTTTTCCAATATTTTTATCGCTTGATACTTACATACCTTATGAAAATGTAAATACTTTCTGTAAGTTTTAAGAAGTAAATTTATAACATTTTTGTATTGTATAGCATTGTCACTAAATGTTTTTTGTTGTAATATATTATTAATTTTAGAATATATTATGTGTTATGTAAATAGAATTACGTTTTTTAAATTATAATATGTAAGAATGATTTACAAATTTAATGTAAGATATTAATGTTGCATAATTATCATTATTAGATTCATGAAAAATTGAAATTTACATGAAATAAATATTAATTTTACGCCTATATTTTTATTTTTACAACCAAATTTTACTTTATAAGATGAAAAACTATTAACTTTTTTTCTGATCGTCTAGTGGTTTTTGAGAAATTGTTACATACGTACAAATTAAATGTTAAATATATAGGATGAGTTATTCGAAACCTCAAAACCTCAAAACCTAAAAAAGTTTCGAGTTTCGAGAATTCAAACTTTGTATTTTTTTCATAATTTGAAACTCTTCAAATTCAGATAAGAAAAAGTATAAAATCAATGAATGAATAATAATCATTTGCACTGTGAATAAAGAATGTTCGATTTATGTGTACATATTAAATGTTCGATGCAAGATGCTTTACAACTTTTGGATGACCGAACCAACTTTTTTGTTTTGGATGACCGATGAACAAACTTTTTTGTTTTTAAGGATATAAATGGATACGCCATCAAGTAATTCTGAAACAATAATATAAAATATCCAAAATATCTAAGAATCTATAAAAAAAAAAAAAATCTTATTACACCGTCATTAATGATATACTCTGAAACTTTTCAGTAAATCCAAGACTGTAATCTATAAACAAAATAGATTAGATTCGAATGTTAGCGTTTTCAAATAAGAATTTGGATTAGATATTTTTGTATGTTTTTTTATTTATTTGTGTTGTTATATTTTTGTTTAACTGTGGCCAATAAAAATTTATATAAAAGTGTTAACTTCAGTTTTTAGAAGAAAATAAAATCAGCACTTCAAGTTTCGAAACCTTATAAAATTTCGAATTCGAATTTCAAGTTGGTCAATTTTTATAGACGTCATATTCAATGCATTTTTGTTAGCACATTCGGGAAACTTTAAACCTTTATTATTTTTGTATCACATTCTTACCAATTTAAACAAATTTTATACAATAAACAACTCTACTACTATCGACTAACTAGTGATAGAAATTAAAATAATAAAATATAGACAATGTTGCCAATTTTGTATCGGAACTTATCTATTGAATTGAACGAAACTTAATTAATAAAAGAATGTAATAATTTGAAACAATTGTTGAAACAAATTTAAATGAAAAATTTACTGGATATTTGATTTTTTACATTTATTTAGAAGTATTGAAAGAGATTAATTAAAATATGATATTTTTATAAACATGAATGATGATAAATATTGGATTGTCTGGAAAGTTTTCGTGCCGATTTTCGGTAGATGGCATTAGAATATATTAGAATGTATTATCTGAATATATTAGAATGTTTGAAAACAAATGACATATGCGCTTATTCTAAAAAGTGATACTTCAGGCATTTAGAAAAAAGTTTGGATTCATTAATATTTGTTAGTTTTATACGCTTTTAAATATGGAAGTAAACAAAGTGCATTATAGACATTATTTGATGCTTTTCTTTTACCAGAAAGGCAAAAATGTCGAACAGCAAACAAGACATGTGCTGTTTATGGTAAAAGTGCTGTAGCTGAAAGAACTGCGAAAATGGGTTTAAAGCTGATGATTTCAACCTTCAAGATCAGGAACGGCCGGGTAGGTGCTCCACCACTGACGAAGATCAGATCAAAACAGTAATTGAGAATAATCCACGCTATACGACACGTCAATTAGCAGAAATGTTAAAAACATCAAAATCCACTATTCACGAGCATCTTGTGAAGCTTGACTGTATAAACCGTTTTGATGTATGGGTACCCCACCACTTAACCAAAAAAAAATCTGGTGGATCGCATTTCAATTTGCGACTCACTCTATGAACGTAACGAGGAAATACCATTTTTGAAGCAAGTAGTGACAGGAGGTGAAAAATGGATTATTTATAATAATGTTGAGCGGAAAAGATTTTGGGGGAAAGCGGAATGAACCATCCCAAAAGCCGGACTTCATCCGAAGAAGGTCATACTCTGTGTCTGGTGGGATTGGAAAGGAATCCTGTATTATGAGTTTCTATCAAACAATCAGACGATAAATTCGGAAAAGTATTGCTCGCAATTAGACGAATTAAAGACAGCAATTGATCAAAAACGTCCAGAACTAGCGAATTGGAAGGGCGTCGTGTTTCATTAGGACAATGCGCGGCCACATGTGTCTTTGACTACTCTACAAAAGTTGCTGGAGCTTGGTTGGAATCTGCTTTCCCACCCATCGTTTTCACCAGACCTTGCACCCTCAGATTTTCACCTATTTAGGTCATTACAAAATTCCCTTAATAACAAAAATTTTAACTCTGGTTGGAATAAAAAATCATGTTGAAAAGTTTTTCGCCGAAAAACCCGAGAGGTTTTGAAAGGATGGAATATTCAAGTTGCATGATATATGGAGAAAGGTTGTAGAACAAAATGCCAATTATATAATTCAATAAATATATATCGAAATTTAAATGCGCTGCGTTTAAAATTTCCTTAAAAAACGGCACGAACTTTTCGGACAATCCAATAGATAATTCATATCCATGAATATCTGTGAAATAAATATGACGTTTTTTTACTTATTAGTAGATACAGAACTTGAAGAAGTTTTCTTTGTCTCGAAATATCTTGTGAAAGACTCATAGAAAAAAGTGTTTACAAATATTGGTATAAAGCGGCACATCATGTTCCTACAGACACAAAATAGCGAAGGAAACTTCATAGTCAAATTCGTTTCTTTAAATATTATATACATTTTTTTTTTTTCATAGCACGATAATGCTTGGTTGTGACAAATTCAATCCTATATTTATTATTGTAAATTATTAAAAAATATGTTATAAATTAGTGAGTTATTACGAAGTCAAATAAGCGTAAATAAAAGTTTTTTTCAATAATTAATGCAATAATTCTTATTATAATACTGTATATTCATGTATAAAAAAGAATCAAGTTTAAGGTATTTTCTATATTTTCAAGTTTAAGGTATTATATTGTTCCGTCAGTGTTTTACATTGAGATCATATATCTTAATGAGACTCAAGTGCTGACAGGAAAATTATATATTTACGTGTGTAAAAAAAAATTTGTTTATTAGGCAGCTGGAGGCTTATATTCTAATAGCCGCATGAGTTACATTGGGACGTATTATTCCAATAGTCTCGAAAGAATTAATTATGACATTACGTTATATAATAACGCAGTGTACGTAATAACATATGCCTTAATAATCATTAAATTAATTTTATTTTTATGGCGAAATCGCAGTCACAAAATCACGTAAGCGGTCGGTAGTAAAGTTGTCATTACGATATCGGCCTCTGTCTCTCATTCAATCTTTTTCTGCCCACCAGTTTGACTCCTTTTGTGTCATCTATAGATAAAAGTCAATTCAAAGAATTTGTTGAAACGACGACTCAAAAATAATATATATATGCCAAACTTAATTCTGAACAAAGATATATCGGGGAAACGCAAATGTAAACGAAAGCTGTGCAAATCTTCAAAAGGCATACGAAAAATTGATATCTGTCAATTATTTGTCGAGTTAAGTCGGAAAAAGAAAATATGTATATGCAAAACGCATAATGACAAATAGAGTAGAACTTCGTTTATACGAACTTTATCTAATTGAACCAATTTTTAGTTAGTTGACTCCACGTATTTAAACGTGAACTCTTATTATATGAACAAAAAATCACGGCTATTGTATCAATTATATACTAAATTATTGGTTCTCTAACAAGTTTATATAAACAGAATTCTGCTGTATATATTTCATTTATCTCGAGAAATAGATTCGTCATTCACGTACGTCTGCCTACAGCTAGCGATCCCGCTCATTGGACAAAACATGGATAGAAGACAATATAGAGTCGTCGTTATTGCCCTATCAAAAGCGATAAAAAATGCTCAACTTTGTAGACGATAAATCTACCTCTGAAGCAGTGGATCTCTTCGTCCTTGTATTTTTGGTCGAAATTCATTAACCAAATTAAAGAAAAGGTCCAACTTTTGGTCCTCTAAAGTAAAGTCTAACAAAAATTTGTTTATTGTTTTCTGTAATACATCGTATGCAGTATCATTTGTGATCATTAATCCCCCAGTATGAATAAAAATGAAAAAATTCAATTATTACGAGATGCAATCGTCAGTTATCCTGATTTTCCTAAGCCTGGTGTTATATTTCGGTAAGCAATAAGATGATTTACTTTAGTCAATTATGCTTTTCTTATTTATTAACATGTAGTTAATTTCAAGTTAACTGCATGTATTTATGAAATGAAGTTCTTATATTTTATGATTCATTATATACATATTTTCAGGGATATATTTGGAATATTCCGCAACATTGTAGCAATGAGAGCAATGAAAGATTTAATAGTGGAACATATCTTATTTTTGGAGGTTGATTTAGTTGTAGGTTTAGATTCAAGAGGCTTCCTTCTTGGACCGATTATATGCATGGAATTAGGAAAACCTTTTCTGCCAATTAGAAAAAAAGGAAAGCTTCCAGGAAATGTTGTGCAACATGCTTTTACTCTTGAATATGGAGAAGTTAGTATATAAAATGAAATTTAATTTTATTTCAGTGTCACTCTAAATATTATTTATCAATTTCATTCATTTATGTAGGCAACTTTTGAAATACAGACAGAATATGTAAAAAAAGGAGCACGAACAATTATTATAGATGATCTACTAGCGACAGGAGGTGAATAATATAGAAACATAAATTTTTTCAGCATCTTAGAAGTAAAATTGAATGAATTTTAATAATATCTATAGGTTCTATGGTAGCTGCAATAAAGTTATTAAAGTTAAGCGGAGCTGAAGTGATTGAATGTTTAACAATAATCGAATTATCTGGATTAAAAGGGAGAGAAAAGCTTGGTATACCTGTCCATTCATTGGTTCAATATGATTAACCTTTACTGTGAGGTAATGTGGAAGCACAATTTCATTTAATTCTTTAGACAATATTAAATGCAATATTATTAACATTCTTAAAGCAAAGCATTTGAACAAAAAAAAACAATATTTTTGTAAAATGTATCTGTACATAAAATGTTTTATTATTTTGTAATTTAATGTACAAAGATATTTTATAATATTTACAAGTTGTATAAAAATTTTATAATAAATTTGTATAACTCTCAACAAATTTTGAATATTACATGACATTTTATTATATTAAAATCTTTATTTTTGCAAACGTAATACAAAGGAAATAATAATTCTGTAATTGTATGCTATTTTAACAATTCTATAATATATAAATGACATTAACTATTAATTATTTTTGATTTTTGAGATCTTAATGAATTTAAAAAACTTTGTACTTCATATTCCAAGTCATCTACATCTTTTTGTAGTCGTTTTGTTTTTTTGTTTTTCAAATCTAGAATATCTTTATCACTTGTAATACCTAAATCTAAATGTAAGGTATCATAAAATTGATCACAAATTCGTTCGCGACTAACTTTGCATGTTTTTGCTGGTTCTGGTTCAGCTGTTCTTCTTTCCCAATCAAATAATTGTTCTTTGAAACACTTCTGTGCCTCTGAAATTTGAATTGTTACAATTTATGTACTAATATTTCAAGAATGTACATACCATTTAATCTTATTTCGTTGACTTGATCCATAAAATATTTTGTTTCATGTTTTAGTCTATTCGTTTCTGTAATTTCTATAGCTTTTTGTTTGTGTTCACGCATAGTTCTTTTTTTCTTCAACTTTTCTAATTCAAAAATAGATATTTTGTCTGTTAAAAATTTCGGAAAATCATGTGACACAATAGATGGATATATCCCCTTGGATGATAATGTAATTATTTCATTCCTAGGAAATACAATATAATAATACTTAATATAGCAATAAAAAAATATTGGATTTAAAAAAAAAAATTGCTTTACCTGAGATAATGGTTAGGATGTATTCTTAATGGTAAATTATTATCAAGCTGTTGAGCAACTTTTAGCAATTCTTGTGCTCCAACATGACCTTGTTTAGTAAAATACTTTTTAATACTTTCTTGTGTTTGTAATGAGGAAATGATAATTTCACGGGAGCATATACTATATGCCACAATACTTATCAATAAAAGTGAAGGTTTTTTAAAGGATATTAGATTGTCCCATAAAATTAACCATTCAGGGCCAGATAAGACTTCACTCATTGCAGTCTTTAGAAGAGGCCATGCATATTCACTAGATGTTATTCCTTGTTCACAAAAAACATTCAGCAAAGATGGATCTGCTTGTAAAAGAATATTTTCTATTATACCTAACACATTTAATGGTGGTAAAGGATGATATTCAAACCATTTTTGACAATAGTTTAATAATATACTTATAATTAATTCAAAACCAAGTAATAGATCTTTCTGTAATAAAAATAAAGTAGTTAATTTCTGCTATGTTGCTATATTATTTTATTATATTATGAATTATTTGATTACCTGAAAGACCATAACAAACGGGAAAACTAAGTTTGGTAAAAATGAACATTGTATTAATAAAGGACACCATTGTATTAAATAATGAACTGTTGTCATTAATAACATTTGTTTACTTCTACTAGCTAATGGATAATTCTTCAAAATATCTGAAGTAAAATTTGTACTAGCAGCTTTATTAGCCAAGGCATTGTATGCAGTTTTATTAGCTGGCAAATCTAAAATAGTTGACCATATTAATGTACGATATTTTTCAGGATATTCTCCAAATTCTTTTAAAATGAGCATTAATCTTTCTATACGTAATTCATGTTTAATATTCTTCCTAACACATTGTAAGTGATCATGTATTCCATGAGCAAGTGGTTTACATGGTTCTGTTAATTTTTGCAAAGATTCACATTTTCTTGAAAATAGTTTCTCGCAGATTATTAATTTAAGATGACCTTCCTTTTCTATGTATGCTATGTAACTACCAATGGGAGAAACAGCAATCTTTTTTATCGATTTAATAGGCTGTAGAATATCGATGATACAGGATTGGTTTAAGTCAAAGAAATAAAGATTACAGCTTGATGAAATATATGCCATTATACTGTTTGCTCCACCATCCAAAGGTGATGGTACAAGTAATAAGCATTTCACTCCAATAAAATTTTCTGGTAAATTCAGTGTTTTCATTAAATTCCAGTTATATGTATTCAGAATGACAACTTTATTTTGAGCATTAGCTATAATCATTGCTCTCCCATTTTGTGTAAAAACAAAGTCTTTAATATTTCGTATTCCAAATAGCTTTGCATCAACTTTGATATTATTTTCCAATTGATTGAAATTCCATACTTGAAAAATATCATTACAGTATAGAATAACAATATGCCCTAAGTTTGAAAAACTTGCCTTTTTTATCATAAAATTTCTTGAGCAAGCTTTTAATTGTCGAGTTTTACTACAAGAGTATAAACACCATATTATAGCTTCTTTACACGAAGAAGTCAAACAATAGTTTTTGTAAAACGACACATATATTGGTGGTATTTTATGAGCAATTAATAAGCAAAATTGAGAAACATCTCTGTTTAGTCTCAATATTTTGATGTCAGCTGTAGCAAGACCAACCAATATTTCAAGCTTATTTATGGGATTAAATGCCACAAATGTTGCTCGTCCAATATTTCCCAATTTTTGATAGGAAGGACAACTATTCAGTAGATCGATATAATATAAATATCCTGCTGTATCAATTACAATAAAACGTTCTTCATTCCAATCAAATGCCATATGCGAAAAATTAGTTTTTAACGAGCATTGTGTCCTTCTAATTGTTTCTGGTTCAAGTTCATAGCTATTGTTATCAAGTTTTTTTAAATTCTTCCACTTTTTCTTATACATTATATTAATTTTTAAACAAAAGATGATTTCATTTCGGTAACCACGATTTTCTTAGGTTATGTTTATGTTATAAAAATGTTATACATTACATATTTACACTATCCCTCTTTTAAGAAATGAAAAGAAAGAGAAAACTAACAATGAAACTGTGTTATCGTACAGTTATTAAATTATTTATAGATTTTTGTACTGGATTACTTTTTACAATGATATATTGTATATATTGTGAATTAATTTTTTATTAGTAAGAGTACATAATTGTTGAACAAAAGAGAAAGTTATTCTGCAATTTTTAAATTTATTTTTATAACATACGACATGCTTTTCGAATTTTCTATTCTTTCGCTTTGAATTTGTGACAGTTTTTTTGTTACTTCTTATGTCATTAACTAGCAAGAGAAATAAGATCTAGACAGTTTGAATTCTGTGGTTGTTTGTCGTAATGATGGCAGTTGATTCCTCATCAATTAAAGAGCTTTAAAGATTGATTTCTCTCTAGTAAAAAATAAAAAGTGTATCAGGTGATTAGTAACGTGATATGTCAGATAATTATAAAATGGTGAGATATAACTTTTATTTAAATTTTATACAAATTGTTTGTCATTATGAGTTGATTTCTAGGTTATATACAACTTATGTCGGAATGTTATGAAAGCAAATAATCATAACCCAAATTTCAGTTCTCAAAAATAATTATTTTTTATATGTCTTTGATGTAATTGTTCGTTAGTAGATGAGTAAGATTACTTTTAAATATTTAATAATCATTTTTAAATAAATAATTTAAATTATTTAACTAATAATTTTGCTGTAGTAGTTATCGTAACATAATGCATAAGATAAAACAACAATTTGTGAATATTTCTTTCAATAAATTTTACATTATCTATATGAGTGTCAGGAATTTTTAGTGAATTTTTATTAAAAAATTTAATTAACCTGGGAATTTAATTAACCTGAGAGTCTAGGGGCTGGGATGTACCTGCACTAGACTATGTGGGTAATCCCAGGTTAATTATTAATTTTCCTTAATTTAATTATAATTTGATTTATTTATTTAGTCTGTTGCTGAATTCTTAAAGGGTTTACCTTCACACAATGAAAACAACTTTGCCAATTTTCACACAGATAGTGGAAACAGAACTTGTGTAAAAAAACCTTCAGTTTATCTTCCTACAAAAGACCATCCTTCAGAACAAAGTAAGATAACTTTAGTATATTTCTATAGTTCAGTAGTAAATATGAGAATGAATAATTATAACTATAATTATTATTTTCAGTTATAGTAACAGAAAAAACAACTATATTGTTAAGGTATCTTCACCAACACTGGGATAAAAATGTATAAAATTACATATATTTTTATAAACAGTATATTTTGTTAGTATTTTGGACTAAATTTATTTATCAATTATATTTTTTTTTTTAGCATGCTGATAGAAAACGTGACATTTTGTCTGCTAATGGTGACTCTGAAGATGATGCTGCTACAGTTCACAGCAAGAGGCCACGTCTTGATTTGAATAGTAGTCTTTAAAATGCATCTTGGTTATAATTTTCATTATTTGATGAACTACATTTCCATTATTCATTAAATTCTATTGTCTATTATATTACGTGATTTTTAAATATCGAAGATGCATCTGCAATGCAAAAAAATTATTCAATATGCAGAAAAAGTTCATACATAAAACCAGGTTTGGGTTCAATTTTGATATATAATTTGAGTTAAATATTATGTGAAATATCAAAAATATGGAAAGAAACGTTTTTAAGTAACGTTTCTTTAGATACGTGAGATGTATATGGTACTTGTTTTATACTACATTGCATGCATAAAGTTAAATTGGAAAAAATTCGTATCTAGCACATTAAATAATAATTGCTGTATACTGCACAATATGTATAAATGAATGTGTTCATTGACAAAAATTAACTAAAGGTAACACCTGTATATTACAAGGAAAGAACTATTAAGTTTTTTTTATTTTAAATCGTAATAGAGCATCACTAAATAATTTTGTGTACTTTTATGAACGCATGTTTCAAATCTGTCTTACATATTTAACGATAAGTTTTCAATATACATCTAATTTACAAGAAAAATATGTATGTGATTTTTTATTCTATAAGTGTGAAATCAAATTCTTTTTTCTTGTAGTATTATCATATCAAAATGTAGATAAGAATTTAACTAAAAAAAAACCTTGGTAATATGTATGTATATATTTACGCCCATAAATCTATGGAAGTATTAATAAACTTGATGCAAATAAGTATTAAAGTTTGATGCAAGTACGTTATGCATTACATAATAAAGAAAACATGTTAATCAATTTTCGTTTTTCATGAAAGATAACCAATATTTTATGTACCATTTTTATATTGTATGAATGCAATAAAATAACGAAAATTAATTTAGAATTAACTAGAATTTTACTTTTCAATATTTGTTTAGTTATAAAATTTTTATCATTAGTTTCATTTTTGTTATCTTTTTCTCAAATTTTTCTCATACCCTAATTTACAACGCTGATTTTTATATTACATTTTTAACGTCCAGAAGAAACTTAAACTTTTTAAATATATCTATCTAGTAGTAAGTTTGGAAAATGTAAATAAGTATATAAATGGATTTATGTCCGTAGAGCCGTTGAAACACAAATTTGATCGGAATGTGCAAATATTGGAAACATATTTATTGTTATTTTTAACTGTTGCTTGTTTAGAAACTAATATTAATAAATATATCATTCGAAAAATATTTGTCAAATATAAACAAAATTGATATAATTTGGAAAAGTCGTCCGTTTTTTCTTCTTTTTCTAGATTTAGATTTCCTTAGAGGTGGTGAACTAGTGATCCGCGGGCCGATTATGGTCTATGTCCCTACTTTTTTGATCGGTTATCGATCTCTTCATTTTAGGTTTGGCTTAATTAAGTTAAAGAAAGATCGGAAAAACTGCTTGTATGGTTCGCTGCGGCAGGAAAGAATGCACAGAATAGAAACCATTTTCATGGCGGAGGAGTTGGCAAACTAAAATAAGCAGCTTGTAGAGCCTTGGATGGGGAAAAATTCGCTGTTTTGTGCTTAATTATTCTAGTTCAGTGACAAATGAATTTCCATTACATTCGTCAAAATTTCGTCTTCTAGGGTTATTCGCTCTTAAGACGGCTTCAACAATGAGAAAATGTGAATTATACACGTGAAGAAGAAAGTAAAACACATAAAAGAATCTTCTTAAAGCTCTTATTTCAGAACTGCTAATTGGACAATGTATGTAATAGATAAAATTAAACTAATAAAGTATTTTCTTATTTTCAGGCTCTATTTTTTTCTTATTTGATTACTCAATATTATTTTCTGTTTGTAAATATATTCAGCTAATTCAAATTTTGCGCCTGATTTATTGATTCTAATTGAAGCTAGATTCACGCGATTATATTAAAGACAAGTTCACGCAATAGCGTAAATCTGTTAACCTGTGAATACTAACTATGTATATGTTTATAATTGCTTAATGTTTGTTTTTCTATTTTTATTGTATGTTTTTATATAACTTCATTACAAATTCATATATATTATATTATTACAATTTTATTTTATTACGACATATAAATGCATTACAAGACTGTATTCAGAAATACCTAAAGTATCGATTTATATAAAATAAATTTTACAATGCCACTTATTATTATTACCGGTATACCATGCAGTGGTAAAACAACACGCACTTCTGAATTAAAAGAATATTTTATAAATAAAGGAAAAAATGTAGAAATTATAAATGAAATTGATATTGTGACTAAAAGAGGTTTTGATAGAAATAAATTTTATGCTGGTTAGATTTTATTTTATTTTACCACTTTAGTTTCATTTTTAAAGCAGAACATACAAATTATTTTTATCTTATTAACTTTTATAGATTCTAAAAACGAAAAAAGTGTGAGAAGTGACATAAAGTCAATGGTTCAACGAATGTTAAATACAAATGATATATTAATTATTGATGGTAGTAATTATATTAAAGGATATCGCTATGAGATTTATTGTATAACAAAATTATATAAAACTCCTCAGTGTATAATATTCTGTGATATACCGATTGAACATGCTTGGTTGTGGAATAAAAGAAGATCAGAGTATGAAAGATATAATAGAGAAATTTTTGATGCACTTGTAATGAGGTAATTATGTTTAATTAATTTGTAATCATTTTTAATGGAATGTCATCACAGATTTGTAAACGTGTAGGTATGAAATACCAGACAGTAAAAATCGTTGGGACCTACCATTATTTGTCACATCAGCAGAAGATGAACTAAAATTTGATGAAATTTATAAATTGTTATATGAAGCAAAAGCACCAAAACCAAATTTAAGTACACAATGTGTTAGTATTGATGCATAAATTGAATTAAATTGAATTAAATTATCAATTTGATTAATTACATCATATTTCAGCCACCATTATCATCGACTAATTATTTATATGAATTGGATGCAGTCACTCAAGAAGTAATTAATGTAAGTTATTCAAAAAGTTTTACTTAATAATCAAGTATAATAAAATTTGTAGTAAATAATGAGATCGAACAACATAAACATTATTATGACAGGTTATAACACATTTTTGTTTACTGTATCTTTTTTTTTTGTGAAGGCAATATTATCAACTAAGCAATTGGGTATTGAAAATGAATTTAAAATACCAGGTTGTAATTTAACAGTACAAAACTCGTGTACTGCAGCACAGCTCATGAGGTTACGAAGACAATTTTTAACTTATAGTAAAATGCAACAAATTGAAATTAATCAAATTGCATCATTATTTGTACAATATCTTAATAAAAGTTTATAAGTAAGCAAAGCATTAGCGTATTTTATCGTTAATCAACATATTTTTGTACTAAAGATATTTTTAAAAATAAATTATTTTATATGAGACAAAAATTGTTATTGATCAAATTTTCAAAAACGTATTTTTGTTTTTAATAAAAAAAATTACATCAGTACATCATTAGGCTTACTTTATAGTAATTGTAGCCTGCATATTTGCATTTCAAATGTTATTAATTACTCATTTTGTTAATATAAACAATTTTGAAACAGATGATATTTGTGTGATTTGAATATTATATATCTTTCAAGAAATAGAAGAAATAATGAACACTGTAATAAGAAACACTCAAATTATAGAATTGCACGCTCTTTATCATATTAATGTAACTCACAGAATTATACAAGGCAACATTGGTTTGTAAGATAAATTTGATAATTAAAATAAAATTTGTCTTCAAACCAGTTAAAAAAGGATATTGCGTAGTATATACATGCAACCAAATCAAGCTTCTTTTATTTTGTATTATCACGGTATTTGATAAATATTTTAAACAATAAACATTAATAATATACTAAATTACAAATATCAAAATTGAAAGAAAAAGAAAAATTGCAAAATTGTTGAAGAATCATTTTGAACTTGAATCAACTTTTGTCGGTATTTAAAAAAATAACTGCGCAATTTTTATTGTCTAGTTTGTTAACAACAGAGCTGTTAATATTTAGCAGTTACATATAGTGAAATAAAATCCTAGATAAAAAAATATTAGCTTAATTTTTAACAATATTTAAAGATTTTTCTTACTTTTTTTTAGATTCAAATTACCTAATATTGACTTGATTCATAAAGTATAACAGCTTTGTTTTTGTAGTAATGAACCTATTATGTAACGCATTTACAATTATATCAATTTTTCTTACAAGTGAAATACAGGAAGTCGTCAATAATTAGTTTTCTTGTTCTTGCATACCATTACTTTCAGTACCATTTCTATGACTTATATTATTATCTATGTGTCTTTTAGGTTTTCGACAAACAAAATATACGCTGTTATATTCACATTGCAACATACTATTAATGTTTTGTGCATATCGTGTTTTTACACGCGTTTCCTCCTTCTGAAAATGTTATAAATTATAAAAACTCAATTATAATGTTTTTTAATATTCTTTTACGAAGTTGGTTACCTCTAATTGAAATCCAAAACCTTGAATCACATCACGAACTACATCATAACTTGGTTCTATCGAATCTTCCATTGGCATATCACTAAAATGATATAATAGTGGTCCAAGGTTTATCCATATACCTCCAGGTTTTAAAATTTTGTAGATAGTTTCAATAAATTGTACAATATTATTTGCGCAATCTATGAAAAAACATGTGGCAATACAATCCCAGTGATTGTCTTCTGTATACACCTAAAGTATGGAAATAGAAATTTTTAAAATACTTATTTATTTTTTAATATATCGAGATATTTACCTCCAGAAAATCTCCAGCCGCCATAGAGAACTGTGCATTTTCTGGAAGATCACTAGGATTTACATCTGGGAAGAACACAGCTTGAGTTTGATGTTCAGGTTTTAAGTTATTCATATACTGATGCACCCATGGATGTACTTGGTATGAATTTACTCCCCTACATCTATAATATATTGTTAATAAAATTTGTTTTAAAGGGAATATTTAAAATATTTATTAAAAATATTTAATTTTTACCTACTTATTTAATACAAAATGAGATGCAAATAGCATGAAAAGGGAAAATTCATTTCCTTGGCAAGTATATCCACGTCTCGCAATTTCATAAGCTAATCTTCCTAAACCTGCTCCAGGTACTAGAATTTGCACGTCTGATGGTGTACTGGAAATTTACCTATCATTTCATATTTTTCTGAACTATGTCTTACTATATCACTTTAGCTATTCTATATCTGAATATATGTTAATAGAATATTTTATTGATATGTATCAGAAAGTTTAAAAAGTTCATACCAATAGTCTACAGGGAATTGGGTCATAATTTCATCTATAACAGGCTGATAACACGCCATTCGTTCTTCGGTACCTTCCACACTCCAATCACGAACCAGTTGTTTAATTGTAGCTTGGACCTTTTCTTGATCAGCCATTACTGGACGAGGATTTAATGTCTGCAATTAGACCTACCTATATTTTGTACAATAGAATATATTTTTATAAAAAAAGAAGCTTGTTAAAATGATTTAAAAAATCCAAGCTTGAATGAGAGAAATAGATTAAATATTTTTTCTTAGGAAGATAATATTATAACAACAAAATCTTATACATAAGACATAAGAAGACTTTAACAATGTTAATGGTCAGTTAAATAAACATGTAAATATAATTTCGAAATATCTGTTTTCAATAAAATAAAGTAAAATATTATATGATGATACAAACACAATTATGTTTATATTTAACAAGATTAATAGAAATAATTAATCATAATTTTAAAAACATATATTGTACAACAGAATATACATGCCACACACCAGGTGAACTTTTCTTACACTGTCAGTCTGTGCAGTAGTTGGGTTCACATTTTCAAAAATATGCGCTACATCTTTTATGATAAGTTTGATTATCTCATCATTATTTTCAATACACCTTTTAACTTCTTGTAGATGTTCTTTATACTTTGATAACAGTTTTTGATGATGGGCTGGAAGTGATAGCAAATAGGATTCTGTTTTCTTAACCCTTAATAGTGAATGATTTCTGTAACGAAAAATTATGATATAAATAATATTTATTAGTACAATTACACTTGCTACAAATTTTACATTTCATCGTTTTAAGTTGTATAGTTATGAATTTGAAACTGATTTTAGTAGGGCAGTAATTGGCTAATGTATTTTGATTGAAAAATTTTTTTATGAATTTCTTCTGTTAAATACAAATCATCATGTCTTTATTTAAAAAAAAAATTATATTATATATAACACAATCTAATTTCCATAATTATGGAATAACTGTAAAACTGCAAATAAAATATATCGCAGTACCATATAATTGAAGGTTAAGACGATAATAAGAATCTGTAACGATTATCAAAAAAAAAAAAAAAAAAAATCATAATCGACATCTTATAAATTTACCCGAGGTACTATGTACGATTAAAAAAGCAATAGAATAAAAGCAATAAAGATAAGAACAAAACATCGACTCGAGAATTAAAAGTCAATTAAACAAAATAATCTTTCACGATATACCTACTTGTAATATTTGAAAGCTGAAACAATACGTTGAAAATGTTTTCTCTCTTCCTCATCCTCATAAGTGTCGTGCATTTTTTTTGGATAAGGGTTCGACATTGTTTCCATTTTTATATTCAAACGTGCAACTTAATATTTTAATGAGTTTTTTAGCACAACGTCCAGTGGCGGCTTTCTTGGTGCACGCGTTACGACGCGTCTACATTACTACGACAAATCGTTCTTTAAGGCTCAATTGTCGGCAGATTTTACAAGTTTTATTTATTTAATATTCAATGCTTTTTATTTTTATTTTTTATTTTCAATTATTTATTTAACAATTTATATATCATATATTATTTATTTAACACTTATATATTAGAAATTGACTGTAAATACGAGAGAGTTACATTATTTGGTTTCGTGCGATATTAAACTTTCTGCGGTTAATTTCAATTATAAAAGTATAACTTCATAATCATATAAGTGTATAAATTATAAATTGCACAAAAACTGATATGTTGATAAAAGAAAATATCTTATGTTTTAAATAAAAACAGATAGTTGCAAGTTTTATTCCTTAATTTTTCGTAATATTGTATACTTTATATAATATAATCTTTCTACATGATTTGTTATGATTAACAAAAAATATATGACTTAAAAAAAATGATTTATTTTGAGAGAGGTTACAAGAATAAATATCATCATTTTTTTTATCCTTTACAATAATGTAAATGTCCTTTATAATTTGCACAGTAATTTAAGCTGTTTCAAACATTCAAATTTTGTGAAAAGTTAGGTAAAATTTGTTTAATATTTTGCAATTTGCATTGACACAGGAAATCTCAATTTTAATTTTAATTGTTTATTTATTCTTTAGTATTATTCTTTAGTTACATGTACATAGTAATAATAATACGTTTTGACTAAAGGATGGCACTTCAGATCTTCCTTCTATATTGTTTAATAAACTAACCATTTTCGAACTATTTCTTTCTCTTTAGCATTCATTATCCTTTGGTATAGAATATAGAATTTAAAACTTTATATTTCAATTTGTTGGATTTTTTTTTGTATATAATTTTCTTATTACATTATCATTTATATTATCTTTTCCTATTGCAACATTATTTCTTATATTTGATTTAATAACATATATATAATTATAATTTAAAACATACATAATTATAATTATAGAATTTATAAGTTATTTCTCATAAACATACAAAAATATAAAATATATAAATAGTTGATAACTTTTTCCTGTATATTGTCTTATCTTGTACTATTTCTAAATTTGACTTATAATATTCTTATAACCATAGGCATAGGCTATAGACCATAATTTGTAGACTGTGTTCTAGAAAGTATTAATCATTGGAGATTGTAAATTATATCATGTACTATATGTTTATATCATGTATCATGTACAATAAATGTTACAACTTTTTAACAAATGTCATCACACATAGTAGAATATAATCTTAATTAAGATCTATATGTGTGAGTTTTAATTTACTAACTTGTCTTTCTTTACATAACTTTACTGCTTTCTAATTTCTTTATTTTTCTATTTTTCTTTTACTGCATATTTTGGTAAGTTTTCTTCTTGCTTTTTATTACAACTCCTGCTGCTTTCTTTATTTTTCTTTAGTGCTTTTTACCTTGTTTCTTCTTATATGTTACTATGTATATATGCTTGCTTTTTTTGATAAAGATCATTGTTCCTTGACATTTCAGACTCACTTTTTCCGACAATCTTGCATTATTATTTACATTTTTTTCTTCCATTATTATTTAGTTTATCCATCAATTTATTCCCATTTCTATATTACGTAATTTATTCTTTTCTACTTTGCCCCGTGTTACTAAATTTATTGTTCCCTCCCTGTAAGATAATTCTGCTGCAAGTGAAATTTGTTTGCTACGATCGGAAATCATGCCAAGGCGCAACTCGCACATCCGCAGAGTTTCTATAGCTATTGCAAGTTGCAGGTAGGACATGGTCGTCTACGCCATTTTTAAAAGGAGCTCAGTCGCCAATCAACCGCGGTAGGGTGCACTTGGTACCTCGCCGCGAATATTGCATCAGGCTTGTAACTTTTTCCCACGATTAATGTTGCCATACAGGCATTTCACGATGACGACAGTGTAAGAATTTGTTTGAAACTCTTCACTGAGTGTATAACGGGGGTGTTGATAGAAGTATTCATAGGAGGTACTAGCACAAGAAACATGTCCAGTGCAACACAAATGTCTAGTGGGCTCAGTAAGCTTAAAAAAAAACATTTTCGTGTTAAACATCAAAAGGTCAAGCTGTTTCGTGCAAATGAACCTCTTCTTAGTGTTTTCATGTGGGGTGTCAATCACACGGTGAGTATCAATATAACTGCGTGACAGCGTCGTACGTCATCGAAATGCCATTTTTTTTTTTACTCTGTCCGAGTAAGAAATCGGAAATTTCAAAAATGCTGCATTATACTGTGTTACGTTCAACGTTAATGCGATTTTAGTCCGATAATTTTCTCCGAAATTGAGAACATGTATTTGAACGAGTATTCGAGTAATTTGTAAAGTATTATAAAAGGTTTTCTATGAAAATAAAGTAAATTTTCACTAGCTATCAAAAGTAACAAAAAACTTGTAATAAATTTTTTACTACAGTGTGGTAATTTTGTTTATGTTTATATCGTGTTATGATTTGTTACAGTTATCTTATGTTTATTTTTATATAAAATGAAAAATCAACTTATATATCAATTGAAGTATATCATTGATTCAAGAAAGTTAAGGATTACTTAATACATAGTTGAATCAGTTTTATTACATTTTAATATGTAATTATTTTTTTAGAGTTTAAGAAAAAATATTACAAATATATATGTATAACTATTTCTATATACATTTGTGGATAATGACACCTATGTAGGTACAATCCCAGTATCTAAAATTTATCTGATAAATTTACGTGCAATAGATATACAAGTATTTATTTATATATTTTGGTATAATTAATACTTCTTCTACATAATTCTATGTAGTAAATTTTTAATTAACTTTTTAATTATTCTCTTGCGGTGGTATTTATAATATCAATTTAGCCAGGAAATTGTATTGTATTTATATAAATGTTACATCTGACATACACATATTACAGATAAATGAGCTTAGTCATGTTAATATACCAGTAGTGCTCCTGCCAGATGATTTCAGAGCTTATAGCAAGTTAAAAGTGGATAATCATCTTTTTAACAAGTAAGTTATATTAAATTATATGACAACATATAGAATGGAGAATGAAAAAATATTATAATATTAAATATTATACTTAATGATGAATTGGATCAGAAAAGTAATGTGTTTAATATTAAGAAAAATTTATTAATGTAAATGTAAAATAAGTAACTTTCTGAGATAGCTATTCTAAATATATCGCTAAATACTGAACTTAGGTTGGTCACTGCTTTTAATAATAGATTCAATGAAGGTCCTCTTGATCTGAAATTATAGTTAATGACAAAAATATTCACAGTTCTATTCATTAATTTAAGGGATGTTTACATGTTTGAGAACTATTTATGAAAATTGCTAAATCTATATATTATATATATTCTATTGAAAACTAACTTGTTACATGTGTTAAAAATTCATTATCTTCAAGTAAAAAGTTACTCATATATTTAATTTTTTGTTTTAGGGAAAATATGCCCTCACATTTTAAGTTTAAAGAATATTGTCCTCTAGTATTCAGAAATTTACGGGAAAGATTTGGTATAGATGATTTGGACTATAAGGAATCAATGACAAGGTAAAAAGTAATTTATTTGAATTATATATCATGTTTTTGGAAATTAAGTTTATTAAGTTCATTTCAGAGAATAATTGAAAAATATTATTAATGTAATTATAAAATACAGTACTTATTTTAGATGTACAATACAAACAAGAAGTAAAGTATAATTTATTTTTTAAAATTTTTGTCTTATTTTATTGCATTGCATGTTAAAGATATGTTTTATTCTATGTGATAGCTTTCTGCATATGTTACTTTAACTATAATATATATTTAAAGTATTTATATGTATTACTATAATTTAGTGAATATTTCTTTACTTATTTTGCTATATAGCACATTTACTTATTTCTGAAGTATTGCAGATTTAGGTGCTTTACTTGGAGGAAGAATAATCCACTCAATGACTCGTAAACAAATAATTGTAATTAAAAATTATGTCATGGTATTAGTTAAAATTAATTAATTTTGTATTAAAATATAAGAGAACAAGAAAAACATATTTTTCTACTTCAGTATAAATTTAAATATAGTAAAAGAAACTTAATAAAGGCACAATAGTATTGTCATTAACATATTTTAGTATATAAAATTTGGTGTATTATATTTCAGTTACATAAATGTACATAACCATATATAGAAACAAAGAATCTATTTCATTTCTTTATATATAGATAGGAAATTGTAATACAAAAATGTAATGTTAATAGTAAATTGTAATACAAAAATTTTGATGCTAGATGTCGGGCATTTAATCCTTCCTTATCAGAGAGGCATTGGAATTTGACTAGGAATGGGAAGACTCATAAATTGGTTCAGCATTCTGCTACTGCTCCTTCAATAATTTTTCCTTCTTCTCCTGTTCTTTCACAAATTCCAGTCCTAAGTAAACCACTACGTTCCTACAGTTTTAAACCAAAGCGGCTGAGGTTAGCTAGACTTGATTTTTCACTTTGTGCGTGTTGCTTATGGCTAACATATTTTCATGAGATCTTCATAAATACAAAGAATTAGCTGAAAAGATTACAATTGATTGTACACATCTTCTATAGTGTTTTCAAATATTTTTAACAACTTAATACTTTTAATTGTGCACAACATTTTTTTATACTATTATATGTAGACTATATGTTTATAATTAAATATTTATAAAACATTAGAAGAGTTAAAGTTAGAATTAATATTAAAGCATGAACTTACTTTCTTTTAGTTTGTATATATTAATAGGATATATTATATTTTTGTATATATCGAGTATTTTGGTTGTGATAGTATAATATATGAATAATATCAAAATTGGTTAGTTATTATGCTTAAATAATCATTTGTTTTTTTATATGCATGCTGATATATGTGGTAGAGGTATACTAATAGTGTTTCAGAGAATCAGAAAAGAGAGTATTTTTATTGCTGGAAGTAAATAATATACTATGCCATTATGCTGAATTAACATTGAAAACAAAAAAATTACTATTATTTTTATCTTTTTTTAGGTCACAACCCATATTAGAGGATTCATCTGGGAAAAGTGGTGCAAAATTTTATCAGTCTTATGATAAACTGTTTATTATCAAAACTCTTACAAGGGAAGAAGTGGAAAGGATGTATTCGTTTTTAAAACATTATCACCCAGTATGTAGAATTGTTATTTAAACTATATATATTTGGTTCTTCTTAAATAAAATTGACAATTTTTTTTTTGTATATATTAGTATATCGTGGAAAGGCACGGAAAAACTTTGTTACCTCAGTATCTTGGCATGTACCGTTTAACAGTAGATGGAGTTGAACACTACGTCGTTGCCATAAGAAATGTATTTTCAAATCATTTGACTACGCATAAAAAATTTGATCTAAAAGGCTCAACAGTAGATCGTGAAGCATCTGACAAAGAAAAGGAAAAAGATTTGCCTACTTATAAAGATAATGATTTTGTTAAAGAGGGAACGAAAATTTACATTGGCGAAGAAGCAAAAGCTAAACTTATAGAAACATTAACCGCCGATGTCGACGTGAGTTTCGTTTTTTATTTGTTTTATTTAATTAATTATTAATATATTATATTATTTGTTCTATTTAATATAAATATTCATTGATAAATTATATATTTGTATACATTAATATATTATATTATTTGTTCTATTTAATATAAATATTCATTGATTATTACAGTTTTTAACAAAATTGCATTTGATGGATTATTCCTTATTACTTGGATTGCACGATTGTGCACGAGCCGAGCAAGAAAACAGAGAACGTGCTGAAAGAGAGGAAGAAGAGGATAATCACGAAGAAGAAGATGATAGTGAGTCTGGAAGTGGACTTGATTCCCGAGGTCCAATGGGAGAGTATGTATTACATTTTTGTATTTTATATTTTGTAGAATTTTATTTTTGAAATTTATAACATTTAATATTCTTATTAGTCGTCTATGGGGTTGGAGCGGCGTTGCAGGTATGGCAACGCCTCCTGAATCACCACATGCCGCGTTGGTTCGCGACACAAGTTTACAATATGAAGATGCAATAATTCCTGAATTAGATATTTATGCGATTCCTAGTAAAGAAGGTAATATTTTTTATAACTAATTTATAAACATTTAAATTAACATCTGAATTTGATTTTATTCCAGGTGCACCTACAAAGGAAATTTATTTTTTAGCCATAATTGATGTGCTAACTCATTATGGTGTACGTAAGCAAGCAGCAAAGGCAGCTAAAACAGTGAAGTATGGTGCTAACGTCGATGGTATATCAACCTGTGATCCAGAACAATATGGCAAGCGATTTATAGAATTCATGAGCAAAGCTATAGAATAAGCTCGTTATTCATTGTTGTTAAGCTTGTAAATTTGGACCGCTTATTCAAAAGTCATGATGACACTATCATTTTTACGTTTATGTTTAGTGCATTGAACATTTGTTCCTCGCACTTTGATGTTTGATTATAAATATCTTTATTTGATATGTACTGTTATTTAGTCAGTACTGTCGATTATATATTTCAGTATTCCTTATGACATTTACAACAAACTTAGAAGCATAACAGAATTTCATGGATTACAAAATTTTAGATCTGTGGAGAATTTTTTTTCAGGGAATGTTTAATAAGTTTTTTATACCATTCCTCAGTATTTAATTAAAATTTTTCTATAAAGACAATTGTCAAATTATTTATTTATCAGATCTCACGAAAAGTTCTATCGTTTTTCATATTGGTGAAAAAACAATTGTTATTGTATAGAGTGGGCCAAAAGTTTCTTTCCACTTATTTTTTTTAAATAAAACATCAAACTATAAAAAAACTAATTTTATTAATTTTAAATTAAATTTAGGTTCAAACATGATTATGTTTTAAAAATTATTTCTTTCAAATGTTGATCGCTGGAACGTTCGCAAATTTATTTTAGTAGAAAGTAATTTTTGGTCCACCGTATATAATAATTTTTATTAGTAAAACATTACATTTATTGACCTTCTTTAGTTTACAGATACCTTTAGTATGTCAATTTAGTTTACAATATGAGTGTAGCTCGTTTTTGATATTTTTTTCTATTAATAAAGTCTTTTTTTGCTGAAGTAGCTGCTCAGTAGCTTTTTGCTAAATAATAAATATTTTCGATAATGTTACGTAAAATATACGAAAAACTTGCAACGAAATAGAAACTGATTTTTCTTATTCGAGGATAATGCACGATAAGAACCATAATTTTTAATAAAATGATTAAAGATTTATAGTAGGAACTTCTACTTCATCTGTCATATTTTCCCAACAGATTATCACTTTTTTCGTGATCTAGCCAAAAGACTATTGACAAAAAATAAAATTTTATACTAAAAGTATCTATAGACTATTAAAGAAAATTATTGAATATGATAGAATTTATTTTAATGAATAAAAGTTATTATGTAGTCAAACAATTGTGTTTCACCAATATGAAATACGACAAAACTTCGCGGGACCTGATGTTTTATCTTTATTTTAACAAACTAACATTAATTTTTGTGCATTATGTGTACAAACAGGAACACGTAAAAATTGTATTAGAAAATTTTATTGTAGGTAATGTTTTATTTTGTGAGCTGCTACTCAATGTAATATTCAAAAATATAATTTTTTTAATTATTAATTATTAATAATATTAGCAATTTTGTTACATTAATTTTTTTTATATAAATATCTATTTCTAATAGAAAAATGTATCATATATTGTTTTTGGTACACATAATGTGCTATAAAAGTTGCATTAATTATCGTCATTTGACAGTGAATGATATGTAATACTAGTTTATTAAAAAGAATTAAAATTAATGTTGATGTTACATATGATAATCACAAACGGGATACGTGTTTCACGAAGGAAGCCTACATTTATTATGAAAAGTCTCTCCAATTTCATTAAAACGAATTATAATGCTTCTGGTCTAGTGTCTGTGGTGTTGTTTGGAATGTTTAAATATTTGAGGTAGAATATAATGGCTTTTACAGTGAGAAATTTCATTTTTGGTAGGTTTGAGAGAGAGAGAGAGAGAGAGAGAGAGAGAGAGAGAGAAAGAGAGAGAATTAATATATTATATGCGCAGAAGATACTATAGTAAGAGCTTGAAACTTCAAAAAAATGATAGTAGAAGTTAAAGTCTGTAAATGTTACCTCGTTGGTCATTTCAGTTACCGCGAATTGATGTTAAGACTATCGATTCGTTTAGTTCATGAAGTACATTTACAGGGAACAAAACAAAGTACCTATTGTGCGTGATACATGTGTCCTTTAATTTGTAAAGTGTCAAATTTAGCCGATGATTTCATTAGAAAAATGAAATAAAGAAGTACATATGGAATATATTTTTTGACGCATTAGGAATGAAATGCTCATTTATTATTTCATTCATGAGAAGAATATATTATATTTAACTATGTTCGTTTTCTTTTTTAAATTATTTAAAATTAATTTGTTGAAAATGTATTTATTTTTGGACAGTATATGAAGTAACATAATGTTTCTTTGTATCATTCGAGTCTGAATGCGTCAAGCTTCGGTATAATTATTAGCACAAGATCATCTTGCTTAATATTTTCAATGCAAGGTAACTTAATAATGCAACTTCACTTTTTTAATCAATAAACTTATATAATAAAAAATACTATTTTATTAATTATATTTTAAGATCGTATATCATTGTATTATGTTAAAGCAAAACGGACAATGTATCATTGCATAATACTCTATCCTTAAATATTCTAATAATCGATTTTTTATAATTTGTTAAAACTGATCATAATATAACGACTAATTACTTTACTAATTAAGGTATTCATCTAGTCTCGATACTTTATATGATTTTATACATTGCAACATATTGGAAGAACAACAAAAGTAAATGAAAATGCATATTGCTAAAGGTGTGTTACAAAAGAACAGTTATTACAATTATAAAAATACGCTCAATTTCTGTAATACTATAGATTCTATAAAAGAAAATATAAATTGTTTTGTTAACTACAATTTATTACTAAACAATAACAAATTTTTCATATATTTATTTTCTTTTCTTTTTTTTTTTACTATTGACTTACAAATCTGAAAACAGTTTAAGATTTGTACGTAAATTTTGTTCGACTATAATCTTGAAGCATATAGATTTATAAGCTTGTTTATAAGCTTGTTTAAATAAATTACAAAGACTTAGACTTATTTTCCAATTTAAATTTTCGCAATTCGCATTATGTAGAAACAATGTATATGTTTACTACTTCGTTGTTGGTAGTACATATTCAGGCTTCTGTTATTCTAACGTTTGTATTTGTATCTATTTCACAGAGTCTGTGTTGTATAAGCAACGGGAAATAAATGGACATTTAACACAATAAGAAATTATAAATAAAAAAAGTATTAGGAAAAAGAATGTTGAATTTCATTTTATAATATGCTCTAGATAACTCATTTTTAAGTAAAAGATATTTGTTATAATAATATGACTTTATAATGACTTATACTTTAAACTAAAAGCAAATATTTTTTTATATTTGAAGAAAGTTATTAACAGATGATATATATTTTATTATCAATAAAAGAAAAATATACTAGATAATTATATATTTAAAATTAATTTGTATTTTTAATTATTGCATATGAAATTGAAGAAAATTTCATTTCTTCATGTCTTTGGTTTTTATATATACTCTATAAAACAATAATGCGTCCAAGATTTTTTTAATAAATTATATACGGATTTTTTTTGAATTATTTTCTCCTAAATCACAATTTTCTTGAGAAGTGGAATTATTTCCTGGGCTCAAATAACCGCTGCGTTTCCTTCTTGCAACAGGTGAAACTTGTTTTAAATGTTCCAGATCATTAAATACTACTTGAGCACCTCCTCCACTAGTTGGTAATATATCTCCCTATTATTCAAGAATTATATTATTTTTCTATCGAAATACATTTATATTTTGAAATATTAATACTACCTTGTATAATTTAGTTTCAAGTTCACCATCTGTATCTTGTTCCTGTGCAATAAGACAATATCTGGATGCTTTATTTGTTATATATTTTGGATCTGTCAATTGTGTGATGCTTAGTTTATTTCGAATAACTGGTTGAAGAATAGTGCCAACCGGAACTAATCCAGGAGGTCGATGATCAATCCATCTATCTGCACTATGAGATCGTCTGTAGCGCAGATTCACTACTGGAATTCTATCCTAAATATGATTAAAGATAGTACAATTCTATTAATTAATTCTAAATACATATATAGTTTAATAAATAAAATTATACTAATTATTGTATTTACTTTTCTACTTGGTCGAGTATCACTATCTTCAAATTTAATTGTAGAAATAGTTTTTATAGTTTTTGTATTTTCTGGGACAGTGTTTGAAGTAGTTGTACTAATTTTCGATATTGTAGGCATTTCAACTTCGCCTTGTTGAACTTGAATTGTTCCCTTAGATTCTGATCTATCTTTTGTATCTATCTCGTTATCATTTACTAGTATTTGTTTTACTAATTTCAGTTTGTCTTCTTTTTCTTTCATTTGATTCTAAACAAATAATTAGATAAAGTAAATATATAATGTACATACAACCAACAGTTGTACTATACCTGAAGAAGTTCACGTTGTCTACGAAGCTTGCTTTCCAGTTCTTTGCTTATTTTGTCAGTTTCTGCTTGAATTTTATTGTTATATTTTTCTTTTACTCTTTGTTTCTCTATTGTCTGTTGATTCAGTAACATATCTTTGTTTTGTAACTGCAAAAAGTTTTGTTAAAAATAAGTTTTACTCAATAAAATATTAATACTAAATAAATTAATATAATTAATTAATATAAAATAAAACAAAAAAAGAAAAGAAAATTACTTCTTGCTTCATATGCCTGATTATATCATTTGCATTATTCAATCTGTATAGTAGTGTGTCAATTTGAGCTTCCGTTTTACAAATATGAGCTTCTAAAGCAGAAATCTGGAAGAATTTTGTAGCAATAATTATAATATTTAAGTCTTTAGCATAAAAACTTACTTTTTTCTGTTGTTGATCGTTTGATGTTTTCAATGTACAGTTTTCAATTTTTAAAGATACATTTTCTCGTTCCATCTTTACTAGCATATTCCTAAAGTTCGTTTCTACAAAATAAATTTTGATTAATATATAAATTCTGGCAAAATATTTTTTAACGGATATATTTAAGAATTACGTTTTTGTTTTAGATCCTCTTGTAAAATATTTCTCTTTTGAATACGCAATTCTAAAAAACGTATAAGCGCAGTAATTAATTCATCATTATGTGGACTTGTCATATCCATTTCTGGAAATGGACCTCCAAGACTAGAAGAAAATTTATCAGACAATTTCTTTATTATTATTATCAATTATTTTTAATGATTAGTAAAAGCAATATTAATTTACCTATACACTAAACCCAAATCAACTTCTAAGTTAGCAGCAGCTGGATTACCAGCATTTTCTAATCTATTTCTTGCTTCTTTAAATAACTATAAAAAATAGTATCGATAATTAAACATGTACAACAAAATCATTTTCATGTATTATAACATATATATTTTTATTTTCATACTTTATTAGCTTGTCTTCTACCAGGAGTATATCCTAAATCTAATTTTGAAGTTGTTGAATTTGTAATTTGTATTTCTTGACTAATTTCAGCAAACTTTAGTACTTGCTATATCAGAAAAAATTAAAATTATTACATAAGAACTATATTCTCAATATTATTTGACTTTAAAAGATACTTACAATAGTTTCATCATAATCATCAATACTAGGATTCACGCAAATGATCATTCTAACATTTCCCTCACCATCAAAGTAATTCTTAAATAAATGCGTTATTTTAGAATCTCGATAAGGGACTATTTTATTTGTACCTTGCGTCTGATTTTCACGAAGTATTTCCAAACAAGTTCGTAATGTCATTAACGAATTATTTATACTTCCTATTTTAACAAATGTGAACAATATAAGCATACGAAAACAATAGTATAATATTTTGATAAATTACCTGCTTCTCTAAGTCTTTGTCCAGTGTTTTTTGAACGATTTGTACGTTCACTTCCAGCTAGATCTACTAAAGACAATTGACTAATGCAAATTACTCGTTTATTTTGAACAATTTGTTCACCTTCCTTATCTAATGGTGCCTGTTAAGATATTAACATAACAAGTTTAAGGCTTACAATTATAGAATAATTAGATTTATACCTGAACAAGCCTTATAGTAAAAACACTGTGAGATCTGCTTGATTCTGCATTAAGATTAGTATGTGCAATATGCCTTCTATACTGGCCACGTTGGAATATTTCAAATGCTTCTTCTGAGCTCTTTATTTCTATTTCTGTACATCCATGAACATACATATTTTTATTTCCATCTTCACGAATAATTTTACTCTGTAAAGACCTAAATTGTTTTGGAAATTTTTAATCAATTTTTAGTAAACTGACAAAATATTAACTAATTATTTTAAAAATTTTTACTTACTTTGCTTTTCCTTCATTTTCTTCCAACAAATCATATACATTATTGTTATAGACTTCTATGTATGTTACAAAAACTGCATAAGCATTATCTTCATCAACATCTAATGTCTCAGATTCATTATTAAAATTATTTTCATTCTTATCATTATTATTATCTTCTTTATATCTTAAAAAAGCATATAAAAGAATAATATTTCATATAAATGTAACAGAACATATCCAATTTCAAAATTAAAACTTACTGTCTAGGAGTTTTTGCATTGCAAGAAGCAACAAGTTTTTGAAGTTCATTTTGCCTATCTAATAGTGCATCAGTTTCACTTTGTATGTCAAAACTGTTTAGTTTGTCAGGTTTAAAAATAAATTTCTTTGTTTGATAGCTTGCTATGCTATTAAAAAGAACATTTAAACTAAGAAGCATGATTCCTGTATCATGCAGATTTCCAGACATAGTGTAAGTTTTGCCACTTCCAGTCACTCCATATGTGAAAAGTAAACTGTTTTTACCATTAATAAGATTTTTAACAAGTGGCAGTGCTACTATTTCAAATACTTCTTTTTGAGAAGTATTTGGACCAAAAACGTGACTAAAACACGTTTGAATAGCTTTATTTACATTACGACCATTTACTGATTCTGATGGTGTAATAATCAAGCTTGTGTTAGAAATAATTTTTATACAAGATACATCGTTGGGGCAAACCATTGGTTTCAGACGGCAGAAGACTTTAACAGATTCCTTAGCTGCATCATTATCACATTTTGGTCGGTTTCCGTGTTTTCGTATAACAGGTGGTTTTGAATTCCTAATTCAGATGAAGTAACAAGAATTGTCTATTAGACGTTGCTATTATTTATCGTAAACGATTTATAAAAAATTAAATTGAAATTGATATAATAAAATAAATAGAAGAATGTAAGTATACAACAGAATGTAATTAAAGTAAAATGTCAAAAACTTACGCAGATTTCATGGTAGAATTAATTACCAAATATTTAAAAACTAACAAAAATTATCTCAATTGTCTAAAAACTTTTTATGGATATTCAATGGTTCAATATTCTTTATTTGTCATGAAAGTTATCGCACGTGATCGTCACACAATAAATTCAGACTTTAAAAATCTACAGACTGAAGTTAGCATCGCTGACAGTAAACTTTTATTTATCGAAAGAAACACTGCAAGTTCAATTTAAAGAATTAAAAATTTTTGATTGATTTGCAGCATTTGAAAGAGATTACGGTAAAATTTGGATCATATGAGTTAATCAAATTAGATTTGACTAATCAAATAATTTGATTTTATATTAGAGATATTATATAATATATTGTGATACATTATACATAGGTATTGTAATAACAAGTTTTTGAATAAATAATAATTTCTTTAATAATAATTTATAATAATTTCTTTCGATTTTTATTTTTCTTTCCTAATTTTCTTTACAAGGAATCTATCCTTGAATTTTAATCGATTTTTTGTCAATCGATAATTGATCATTCGATTAATTATTTGTTCTATTAGAATCTTATGGAGGAAAAATTAGCAGAGAATTTAACAAAACAAAATAGTTTTTCCATGATCAAAATTAAACAAAAAATATTTTCACTAAAAAATAATTTTTTGTTACATATGTAACTGTTTTACTGTACTGGGATTTTAAGAATGAAAAATCAAGAATTAGCCAAGAATTTAACAAAATAAGATAATATATTTTTCATAACAAAAGTTGTATTATACAAGAAGTCTTTTTACTCAAAACTAATTTATTATTATATACATCTATACTTTTTTTTCTTGGATATCTTCTCTTAGATGTGTACCATCGCAGAATGGTCGATTTGATGTTTGTTTGCAATTGCACAGCCAATAATCTTTGGTTTCTTCAACGGTAAAACGTATAGGCCTGTGCTTGATTTTAAGATGTTGATTCCTATGAGTGCCGTCGCAAAATGGTTGTCTATGACTTCTACCACATAAGCACCACTGATATATTTTTCCAGCGATACAAGTAAATTTGAAAGGTTTATTATCATATATAGCACCATTAGTAGACTGGTCATTTGCACTGTAGAATTTTTTCAATGGATTTGTAGGAATTTCTGTATCGTCTTCCACTTTTTTACAGTAGTATCTGATCTGAAACATACTTAACATGTATTGATTGAAAAGAGAAAGATGCTTGGGAGTATATTACTTAGACATTAAGTTCAATTTAATATCTCCTTTTTTATTATTGGGATAATTTAATGATTTACTTTGCTGTGATAAATACATACATTAATTCTAATATGAGAATAGGTTAACCACGAATATGATAACCACAAAAGTAAAATTAGGAACTATGTTACAATGTTTTAAATTTTATAGAATATGTTTTTAACTTACGTTTCGATATTTCAAAATATCAGAATGTATAAATCGTGGAACTTTTTTTATACTTAAATACATGTTTGGTATTCACTGATATTCGACAGCCTGTATATTCACAGTTCATAGGTACTTTTTTGCCTGCGTGCCTGGAAACTAGAAAATTACTATACACACGTTATAACACACATGCATACACACAGATATTTTGTATATTTGCTGTAACTACACAATTCTCATAGATGCAGTACAATTTTATATATATAATAAGCGCAATATTTTTTGTGTGATAATATAAGTATATTTTTTCTCTTCAAATTAAATACATATAAGTATATTTTTTCTCTTCAAATTAGACATTAAACAATAGATTAAATTTAATTATTCGATTTTATATTATGATATATAAATAGAAATTTTTATTTCATTTAGGAAATGTATTTATTAATCTTCAGTAAACATAAAAAAGTAAAAAGACATTCAAACATAGGTTACGAAGAAGAAGTTAATTAGTTAAAGAATATTTTTTCGAATAGTTCTAGAGCAAGATGAAATTTTGTAGGAGAGATTTGGAAGAAGAGGGAGGACTCTAAATATAAAATTTTAATCTCAAGTTTATTAGTTCCCGAGATATTAATGAAAAACTTTCAATACAATAGATTGAATTATGCTTGTATACAAACATTAGGAAGATTCTCCTAATGCTTCTATTCGTTGAAAATTTCTTGTCGACCAAGAACTAGTGCTTTTCGAAATAATATCCATCATGTTATCTTTTATTATAATTTTATTAATTTTATTAATTTTATTATACGTATGTTATACATTATCGTGTTATGTTCCAAGTAGCTAAAATCAATTATTGCAATCAAAAAGTTTTTGTTAGATATCGTATTTTTATATTTTATATTTTATATAATAGTAATAATAATACCAATAACAACAATAATAATAGTAATAACAGATGTACACAATTCCATTTAAACTATAGAAAGAAATAAAAGAAATTATTTGGAACAAGAACAAACTCATCGATTTCAATGATCTCAAAAGGTATATTATTAAATTATTATTCTAATCAATCTTCTTATAGATACATATTACCGCTAGTTGATCTTAATTTCTAAGATACAATATATTTCTTATACAAATATATTTCATGCTTCTTTAAGCGTAAACTTCACTGATTTCAACGATTTTTGAATTTGTAATGTTATATTTCAAAATATACATTTTAATAATATTTCAAATCTTCCGATGATTTTTTTCATTAAAAATCATTTATTTTTGTAAATTATTTTAACGTGCAAATTTCAATATTATAAGGACTATTCTATTCTAAATCAATACCGATAGTTTTATTTTTTAAAAATGATCATAAGTATTAATATTGGCTTGAAGCTTGAGCGAAAGCCAACCATTGTCACTTTGAAATAATTTACAACATAATTTCAACTATCGAATAACTGTAGTTTTCGATGCATGTGAAATAAAATGTAGTAAATTTAAGCAAATATAATTTGAAATTAATTTCAGTTTAATTTAGATCTAATATAAACTCCAAAATGCTAATTGTTACATATATACTATTAAATATCACATGCTACTTTTGGATTGCAAATATGAAAATAAAAATATTTAATATAAAATATAATATAAAATAAAAATATTATTCCTTTTCGGAGGTAAAATCATATATTAATTGGTATAAAAATTGAAATTATTTTTTTTATTGGACAAGATATACATCTAATAATATATAAGATATAAGTTTAAAATATAAAATATTTATAAATATCTATTTAATATATTGAATCAGGTTTTCATTGTAAGATACGAAATAAGATAAGTGTTAAATAAATATGTGATAAAATGTTAGTAGCTTCATTTTTCATTTTTAGTTGTAAATCAAATGAACCTGATATGGGAGGCTATGTACGTAGTTAAGCGTAAATATTGTAAAAATCCATTAGATAGATGTTCCGTATTTAAGCTCCGTAGTTTAATCTAAAGCTTAATTGTTGTTCTTAGACTTAAGCGTTAGATTTAAGCTTTAGTTTATACTAAATATCCATCTCCTTTCTCACGAGCTGAGTTAAGTCAGAAGATTTACAATTTGTAATATGATAACATACACTTTTATATCCAACTTTTTTTATTTATATTGATGGAATAATATGATATTGTAAAATATATTTACGTATGTAAATGCAACGCGACGTAAGTACGATATGTACAGATATGTGTATAGAAATGTTCGAACACAGTTAATTTTCGAACAATTGCATACTGACGCTGATGAAAAATCTCTTGACAATTAATAGAAAATAGAAAAAGAAGAAGGAAGAAATAAATACAAAGAAGCAGCTGATGTAGAAATGATAGTAATACATACATTAAATGTTATATGTGCAAACGTTTTATGTCGTATAATTCAAATTCATGTGACAGACTTTATGTCGTATAATCAGCTTCATTATTTCTCTATTACATATAATTAAATTCACTTAATAAATTAGAAAATTTAAAATTTTTTCATTTAAATTAAGAATTAAAATATTTTTTTAGTCTATATTTTTCATTAAATCTTCATGAAATATTAAAGATTTATATTAAATAAGTAACAAATAAATAATTAAATAAATAATTGTATTATAATAATATTGATGGTCAAAGCAGTTTGTAGAAAAATTTCGAATATTTTAATTATTAATATAATATATATTTTAATATTTTAATTAATAAATAAGCGTAATTTTTAATTAATGAATTATAGAATTTATATTATTTATCAGAATCAATGCACTGCATTGCATAATTATAATAAAATTGTTAAAAACTTAATATAAATTTGATAATTTAATATTAATAATAATTTTAAATAGTTGAAAATTTAGTTAGTTAAAAATTTTTTTTAAGAATATTTAATGAAATATAAATCATTTACACCTAAAACCATGTATTAATAATTTAAAGATTTTAATTTACTACATATTTAAAAGTCATAAATCCGTAAAACATGGATAGAACTCTTTCTGACATTATGTAGTAAAATGATTTCTAGCTTTATTAGTTTGCTTGTTAGTTACTAGCTTTATATTTCGATATTGAAAGTTTGACAACACTGTAATGGGTTTCAAAAATCATATTCCTGGCGTATTCACTACTTGACCAACTTTTATCATTCTATTTGATGTAATTCCCTAATTCACCGTTCTAAACGTACAGTGCGCTAAAAAACCAGTGTTTTTTTTTTCTATGTCGGTATTTCAGGTCACGTGCCACGAAATCCCGTAAGGTGCAAGGTCTATTCATATACCTCGTCGGTGGCTTTAGTCAATGATTCAACACAGTATTATATATAAAGTGATTTAAAATAAAAATATATTATATACAAGATTTTTAAAGTAATTGGAAACTGGAAAAATAGACTAATTTAAACTGCTTTGCTTTGATATATTTTTCAATTTTTTGGAATTACATAGATAAAGTAAATGAGTAGTATAATTTAAATATTGAGTATTATTATTTTTTCAATATTATTTCATATTATTATTACATTTCATAAGATTAACTTTACTTTATTCATTAGGCATTGATAAATGAAGTATGAAGTATGTAGGTATTTTTTTTGTTTTGTTTGTTCTGTGCAATTATTTAATTATTTTTATATCATTGGTTTACTAGAAGAATAATTATTTTGTTATAATTTGTCACATATTTGTGAAAATACTAGTAAGAAAGATATTATATAATTATATTATCTAATAAAAATATTATAATAAAGATGTTATAAAATAAATGTTTAATCCCTTTTCTAACATGTAAGATTTTATCAGAGACTCATAAAAATTCATAATTATAAAATTTAAAGATTGTTAATTGAAAAAAAACAAAATTTTTTAATAGTCAAATAGTTAAATAGTTAATTTTTTATTTAAATTCCTTTTTTAATTGTAATTTGCAATTTGTTTTTTTATTGTTTTAATTTTTATTTAAATTTCATATTACTGAAAAAATTTCCTTTGTTTAACTGCATACACTTCCTTTATTTGCTTCACTTGTACTAGAAATACGAAAATAATATAATTATTTATTATTTATTATAAAATTTATTCCGTAAAATTTCTTTAATTTCATCCAACTTAATGTCTGAATGAAAGAGTTGTATTCCAATTATATAGAAGAATATTTACATGACAATTGTTATGTTTTTATACTTCCGTAATTGCTTATATTTTTTATATTTAAATTTTTGTATATACCAAAATTTATTCATATAATTCCGCATTTACAATCTTTACGATATAACATTTTAAAACAAATACATATATACATACATACATACATACATATATAACATTTTAAAACATATGTATATAATTTTTCAATACAACATATCTCGTAAATAGAACCGAATATTATATAGGGTGAAAGTGTTAAACGCGTTAATTGTATCACATTGTAATTTCTATATAAATTTATTTCAGCCGCATTGAAGGTAGAATTGCGCAGGCCGCTATCAGTAAGAGCACGATGCGCATGCGCTATAAGGATCTCAGTGGTTCTCTGCATCAGCGACGCTGCGGTATCAGATACGGTGTCATTCGTTGCGCGTCTTCTGAGCGCGTTTGTTCTGTGTTCGTGTTGTGTTCCGTTCAAACTTTCCTTGATGACCACGTGGTTTCCGGTGCTTAAATTCTCATTTAAAAAAAAAAACATAATCACATATCTTTAGTGACAAACTTCATCGTAACTCTTCTATTATTTCATATCTTTTATAAGATGTAAGAATTATTGTATAAATTCATTGTTGGTTTATTCGATTCGATCTTTTGATTCTCAAAGATGGTACTGTCCGTCGCCATGGTTACTATGCGCGGGTAATTGTTCATTCGAATTCGTAGGAGATTCGAGACATCTTTTGTTCCTCGAAATTGTTATTTCTTGTTTTTAATCGCATATTACAATTCTATCTAAAATAACGAATTTAAATAAAACTATGATTGAACACAGTGTGGCTGGTTTGAGTTAGGTTTGTGCACGGATGGATTAAATTCCAAGGACAAGTGCGAAATGTGGCTGAATCGTTTTCGTCAATCTCTTACTGCCAGCCGAGAGGTGTGACGCTGCTATGTCCAGAAGGAAGCAGGCAAAACCTCG